GTCGAGCGTCTGCTGCCGGCCTATCTTCCACATTCAAGCGCCTTCCGTTCAACTACTGCGCCGTCTCGCTCCAGCCCTTTACTGACCCCGTCTGTACTTCATCGGGTACGATCTTCGACCTCACACACATCCTCACCTGGTTGTCGAAACACCCCAACACGAACCCCATCGACGGATCGCCTTTGAAGCGCGCTGATCTTATTACACTGCACTTTACGAAAAACGAAGATGGGGAATACGTAGACCCGGTCACATACAAGGTCTTGACAGACAACACGCACGTTGTTGCGCTGAAGAAGAGCGGTAATGTGTTTGCTTGGGATACTGTGGAGCGGTTGAACATCAAGGCAAAGAACTGGCGGGACCTAGTCAGCGACGAAGATTTCACACGCAAGGACATCATCACACTACAGGACCCACAGAGCATTGAGTCAAGAGATTTTAGCTCATACAAACATGTCAAGGATGGAGATACGGTAGTGGCAGAGAATGAGAGCAGCGTGAACAGGGATGCATTAGGCAATGCAGCAAAGATCCTTAAGGCAAAAGAAGCCGTTGCGAAAGCGCGCGAGAACAGGAAGATCAAGGAGCAAGGCGGAACAACATCCAAGGCTATTGCCAACCTCCCACGAAATGGCTCGGCGGCCGCGAGCAACGCAGAGCCCAAAAAGCCAGCCTACAACGCTGCAGTATACACTTCTGGTAAAGCTGCAGCATCCTTTACATCCACCGGCGTCACACCGCACACGTCAGGCGAGCGCGCTCTTCTCTCCGACGAAGATTACATGCTCAAGCCGAAGCGTGTAAAACAAAAAGGCTATGCGCGTATATCGACTACTCTGGGTGAGCTGAATATCGAGCTCTTGCCAGAGTTTGCTCCACGCGCAGTATGGAACTTTGTCAAGCTGGCGCAGAAGGGGTATTACAACCATACCATTTTCCACCGAAATATCAAGGGCTTCATGATACAGGGTGGAGATCCTACAGGTACAGGAAGAGGTGGACAGAGTGTATGGGGTAAGCCGTTTGAAGATGAGTTTGAGGGACCCGAAAGGCATAGCACCAGAGGCGTGCTAAGCATGGCAAACAAGGGCAAAAACACAAACACAAGCCAGTTCTTCATCACCTATCGAGCAGTCCCGCATCTCGATCGGAAACACACCATCTTTGCGCGTGTAGTCGGAGGACTGGACACGACACTACGATCCATGGAAACCGCCGAAGTAGGCGAAAAAGATAAGCCTGTGGACGACATTGAAATACTAGACGTAGTCGTCTTCGTCGACCCCTTTGAAGAGTGGCAAAAAGAGCGCAAAGACAAGGAAAACAAGGAACTCGAGGCCGAGGAAATCAAACGGCAAGGCGGTACCGTCGACGACAAGACTACTTGGACCGGTAAGCGCATACGCGCAGACGGCACTGTAGATAACGCCAGCAGTCATGGTATGGGCGTAGGCAAGTACCTCCAAGCAGCAAAACAAGAAAGGCAGAACCAAGACGAAGACGAGATTATAAGCTTCGTAGATGAAGAGGAGGACGCAGCGCCTGTCAAGAAGAAAGCCAAGACTGGTTTTGGCAACTTTGACGCCTGGTAAAAACCTCACGAACTCGAGCCTTTTTTTTTTCTCCATGCATCAGGATTGATTGATAGCACAGCAACAAATGATACCCCCCCGCCATTCCTTCTTTCAAAAAAACACAAGCTTCTTACCCAACACTCACTAACCAATCCTAAGTCCGCAAACTCCGCGCTCGTTATGTCATAGCGGGAAGTTGTATGCATGTATGCATGCATGATTGCGCACTACGCCTGCTGCACGCCGCTGACTACACAAACTACCTGTTATACCAACCTGCTGACTTTGCATACTTGGGGCGCGGGGGAAGACAATCTTCACCCAGTTATGTGAACTTGCTTTATGTTGCCTAAGGCTGATTTTGCATAATGCAACCGAAGTATGTAATGCGTATTGTCGGGCGATCGTGGGGTCACACGTGTGTGTGTGTGAGAGAGAGTTTAACGCCCTGCATTGATAGAGAGAGGGGGTGGGTTGCTTGCATGCGAGACAGGAATGCTCGAATGGTAGCTTGATAGCGCGCCCTATGTTGCTTGATTGCGGAGTTCCACTGTATCGTGGTTTAGCGGGGGTTAGTACAATGTAATCATGATTACATGACTGGAGGTTATAGATAAAGACGGGACAACGGCTGTCACATATTTTTCTCCTTTTTTTTGCTTTTTGACACTGATTTGGATACTATTCTCACTTGTCGTTCAATTGCACATCTCGAATTCCCTTTTACGATTTCAAATAGTAGGAAGAGGAGGTTCATACGCAATGCCATCAGACATCCCCACCTCGTGCCGCGCTGTCGTCATCGACAAAGTCGGTGCACCCTGGACTATCAAAGACGTCCCTGTTTCCTCGCCGAATGCGGGTGAAGTCCTCATCAAAGTACAGGCTTGCGGTATATGTCACTCTGATGTATTTCTTCAACAAGGGCACCTCGGCGATCACGTTTTCCCACGTGTCCCGGGACACGAAGTGATTGGCACCGTGGTTGCAGTTGGCGAAGGAGAGAAGAAGTGGAAGGTAGGGGATCGGGTTGGAGGAGGATGGCATGGGGGGCATGACGGCGTGTGCAAGGCGTGTAATCGGGGGTTGTTCCAGATATGCGATAAGAAGGATATAAATGGGGTTAGTAAGGATGGAGGATGTGAGTTTTCCCTTACGTTGATGTGACAGTACATTCTGCATATTTATTTGAGTAAAGAGTTTTGGAACTGACACATGAGGGTGTTGTTAGATGCCGAGTATTGTACTCTTCGCAGCGAAGCCGCGGTACGTATTCCTGCTGATGCGGATGCGGCTGAGTATGCTCCGCTGCTATGCGCTGGTGTTACGGTGTTCAATGGGATACGCAAGATGAATATCCAGCAGGGCGATACAGTGGTTATTCAGGGCTTGGGGGGTCTGGGACACCTCGCTCTACAGTATTCTCGCAAGATGGGATACAGGACGGTAGCGCTATCGTCGTCGAGTGACAAGAAGGACTTTGCGTTCCAACTGGGAGCGACGGACTACATCGACACGTCCAAAGAGTCGGCAGCAGAGGGACTCGAGAAGATGGGCGGCGCATCCCTCATTGTCGTTACAGCACCAAATCCACAAATCATAGGCCCTCTGGTCGACGGACTCGGGCCGCTGGGCAAGATGCTTGTTCTTGCGCCCGTGGGCGACGTGCCGATCAACACTGTGAGCCTTGTTCTGGGGGGCCGCTCTGTCCACGGCTGGCCATCGGGCCACGCACTGGACAGCGAGGAAGCGATTGACTTTGCGGAGCGTCAAGGGGTCAAGTGCATGATTGAGAAGTTTCCATTTGATAAGGCGGAGGACGCGGTCAAGCATATGGAAAGTGGCAAGGTGCGCTTCCGGAGCGTCATCGTCATGGACTAAAGGTCGTACCACCGGGATCAAGCTGGGAAGTGTTGCGAGATTCAGGATCGCGCAATGCACTCGAGAACTATAGTCGAGGCTATATGGAAACGTCGAAACATTTTTGGTCGAATCTTGTCCCTCTGTCGTTGTTCGTTTGGCGGTTGGCGTCCTGGGATGATCGAGGCCGCTCACCGGTGGTGGCAGGTGTGAGGCAGAGCTAAGCTCTGGGTTAGTAGTGGCTGCTAAGCTGAATTTCGTTGGGCTGGGCTCTGTTTCCTTGTTGATACACGAGTGCATAGTCGACTAGTAATGGTAGCCGTGTCTAATTCCGTCTCTCTGTCCGTTGAGGCCAAGTATGGCTTATCTTTCTCCGTCTCTCTCTCGCTCACTCGCGCACCTTGCCCCGACTGACTGCAAGCGCCCAAAGTGGCACAATGGACGGATGAGTGCGGACCGCTCGCCACTTCAGCAGCCGCCGAGCATTTTAATCCAGGCTGGCCTCGACACAAGCTTCCCACCAACGGTTCTTTTCGTGCTTGCGGGTACCTGCACCTGAAGCGCGCTCGCGACTTGTAACGCCTGCAGTGCCTGCGTCGGCCTATTAGGGGCCGCGCTGCCCTGGCTATTAACGACGTGCGCTAACTCCGTTGTTTCAGAAGACTGGGTTTTGGCCACTTGCAACACCAAACTCAGGTACACGACAATCCTCCAGGGGGGCCTGCTCCGCCAATTGCTATGCACGACGCGTAGGTGGAGCTGGGGTTGGGGCGACGAGGCCTATCTCGACGGGCTTATTGTAGATCTGCCTTAAGTTGTTGGCCGGTCCGGGCTCAGGTCAGCTGCGACCTGAGCTGAGTTATTGAGCGACTGAACATCACGAAGATCGCGGCTCTCCTCGGTTTCCTTCCTTGTTCTCGTCCCGCGCCACTGGCTGCTTCTTTCTTTCCTTCTTCCTCCTCTTCTTTTCCTTCCCGCGTTCCTTTCTATTCCTGATTGACGCTGTGCGTCGTCAATGTTGATCAGTCCGTTTGGGGAACAAAGTCGCTCTTTGCAGGCCTGGGGTCAAACTTTGAGTTTGCTCATTCATTTGTGCATTCGCGTTTGCTTCTTTCTACATTCTTTACTGCCATTTCCTCGCAAGAACGAGCGTGGCCATCGTCTGCTCCGTGTCAAGTCCAACTTTGTTCGAGAACTCGAATCTCTGGCATCGTTATCTCCCTGACGTATTGGCCAACAAGAAAATCGAATAGAGTTTGTCTACAGCAAAACGCAGTTGCCAGATCATTGCGTCGACGCTCAGGCTCTAGTGGACTGGTAGCATATTTCAAAACTATCTACTAGACTAGGAACAGGCGCCACCGTCTCAAGAACGTCATAGCCCATATTCAAACGGCAGTCGTCTCAGATCCCCTCCGGAAGACGTTCTTCCATCGGCATTTTGCGTTCGGTAAACGACGCCTGAACGTGCGCCCAGATATCGCCGCTCGTATACGTTTGCTTCCTCACACCAGACCTGCCAATCTACACACCGACCCTTCACCTACCACGACAAACCTCACAATGATATCGATATCATTACGTGCAACCGCACTGGCGTTGCTCTGCGCATCTACCGCCCTTGCTCAGACCGTCTCACTCTCAGCCTTTATTCCACGGATCGACAACCTCCCCTCGGCTTGCAACACTGTCTACTATTCGGCCATTTCTGGATGCGTACCGGGTGACTTTCAGCCTGGCGCAACATGTAGCGCTTCCTGCGTACGGGGTCTCAACCAGATCGGAGACAGTGTGAAAAAGAGATGCGCCGACGTTGACGTGGGCGAGCTGAGTCTCATTGGTGTCTTCCAGAATGGACTGGGTATCGCGAGTCTGTGTCCTGGCGTTACCGTAACGACCATCAAGTCAGACTCTCCAACGACGAGCACACAGTCGTCTAGGTCATCCACAAGCACAAGGGCATCATCATCGTCGTCGTCGTCATCAACATTAGAGACAAGCTCAGTCAGCTCGACGGTTGAGGCAAGACCGACACCGTCAAGCTCATCGACCGACACGCAAAGCGAACAAACCACTAGCTCGATTTCTTCAACAAACGGCCTGGTTCTGGACCCAAATGCAACGGGATCGACCCCAACTACAACGGTAGCCGTCCCGCCCGAAGACACAAACGCTCCCGACCCATCGCTCGCGCCAGGCACGCAGTTGTCCAATGCTTTTTCAGGCGGCGGATCACCATTTGATGTTGTCGCAACAGGCTCATCAAGTCACCAAGATATATATGGTGGTGCCGCAGCAGCTCTCCTAGCGACAGCCTTCCTCCTTATCATCTGTGCATAGTTGCATATCACTCTTTTTTTTGTTCTCTTATTTCCTAGCGTTGTATATACGGCTCACGACACGGCGTTTGGGGCATTAGCATGTTTGATTTGTACCATATACCCGTACCGATGGATTGCAAGATCGATTAGTACTACAGCTAGCTGGGAATTTCAGCAGATTGGAAGCAATGGACATGTGTACGACGATGCAAAGCAGAATGGGCTGTAGAGCAGCGCCACAGATCCAGGCAGAGGCAGAGGCAGCTGGTCTCGTGCCATAGTGACATAGTACTATACACAACGATGAATCAAACAGAAGCACGCCAGCTCATGACTCGTCAGTTGACAGATGACACTCTTGTATGCTTTAGTTTCTATACTTTTCCGTACACTATAGGCCATATTTTGTATATTTGTGACGTCTTGGCTCATGCGTTGCGGTCTTACTCTCAGCCCGCGGCAATAGACTGCTCCGGCCAACCCAGGCGACCCATGCGAGGTGGTAAGTAAGCGAGTGGGGGTGGCCACCACCTGCGCCCTAGACGTAATGGCCCATTCCCGCTCCGCTCGCCGTATTGTCGGCTGCCTTTCCGCTGACTCTGGACCCACCATGCAGGAGCACAGCCGTGGAAGATGAGGAAGACTTTATTGCTATGCTTTATCCACGGCTTCAAGGTACGTCTGCTTCCCTCCGTCGCGGACCCATGCGGGACCAGTGCCATACGTCATTGTCAGGTGGCGGCCAGGCCCAGTCTCAGCATAAACAACCAGCAGCGCCATTACAGCACTAGGCGGTTTGAAGGCAGTGAAACTGGGCACTGAAAACATGTACTGACAAATCGAGTAATAGGGCGGGGATGAGACGTTCAGAACGTTTCCGAGCCACGTGAAGGCGCTGCTCCAGCATGCCCTGCCCAAGGTCACCATCCTCACAATCACGTATCCCCAATTTGAGACAAGAGGCGACTTGCACGAGTGTGTGGGGAGATTCAAGGAATGGCTCCAGGACAAGATCATCGATCTCGAGGTGGCCAACTCGACGCCCTCGCCCACAGTCGACCCCTCGGTGCGGACCATCCTGGTGGGCCATTCCATGGGTGGCATTGTAGCGGCAGAAACACTGCTCTCCATTCTCTCGGAACAGCCGATCCATTCACAGTCGAATTCGCAAACGGGCGCCGACTCGCTGTCGGAACACTCGACACTCATGTTCCCATACATACAAGGTATCCTCGCCTTCGACACGCCGTATCTAGGTATTGCGCCGGGCGTGGTAGCCCATGGCGCTGAAAAGCACTGGAATACGGCGAGCTCAGCATACTCTGCGTACACCAACCTCGCCGGTGCATTTGGATGGGGCGCCAAAGACACGGCCTCCAGCACGGTCGATACAAGCAAGATGCTCCCTGCGCCCGCGACTTCTCCAAGCGCGGATGCAGCATCAGCGCCTTTATGGCAGCGTTACGGAAAAATGGCAATGTTTGCAGGAGCCGCAGGAGCCATTGCAGCTGGTGGTGCCGCAGCATACATGAAGAAAGACCAGATCAGCCAGGGCGTAGCATGGGCAACGTCGCACCTGGAATTCGTCGGCGTCCTTGCGCGACCTGAGGAATTACGTAAGCGACTAGAGAAGATTGCAAAGTCTACTACAACGCACGAGCTTGGCTTCTGCAATATGTATACCACATTGGGTCACGCTATCAACAGCGAAAACAAAGAGCACGGCTGGACAGGCAAAGTCGCGGGTAGAGACCGCACTTTTTGCAACCTTCCAAAAGGCCAGCTAAAGAACTTCTTCATTCCTGCTGTAAACGATAAAGCTACAGCTGAGACATGGGCGCACACGTCCATGTTCGATCCCCGCAATAACCCGGGCTACTACACGCTCAGTGAGACAGCCAAGGAGAAAATCATTGAGTGGACGGAGGACACAGAGTGGTATGAAGAAAGCGAGGGACCCCTGATTGGGGAAGTAGGTGAAGAAGCAGAGATTGTGGAGCGTCAGGAGGTGGATGAGCAGATGCAAAAAGAGGCGAATGCAAAGGAAGCAGAGAAGGCGAAGAGTAAAGGTGATGGGGATGGGCTGGACGAGGAAGGAGAGTTTGTGCACCTTAAGCGGGGGGTTGAGGCTGCAGAGTGGGAGGATGAGGCGAGGAAGAGGACGGAGTTGTGATTGTTCAAGTCACGGTGTGGTATACCCCCCCTGCTTGGTGTCGAATCTGTAAGTACCCACACAATCATGACTGGATGACGGCCATGACGGCACGTCCATATGGAACTAGTCTTACTTCTCTACCTAGTAGTCTCCTATACCTACATAAATTCAATGTCTCCCACCCAGGTTCTTCGAAACTTGACTCCAAAAAAATTGCTATACTTAGATTCCTCAACCTCCCGGCTTTGTTGTTGTTCTTGGGAGAGACCATGAGATAAGGCATAAGCTGGGCAAGGGGGTGTCACTTTATTTTAGCACCAACCCAGTTTTTCTACAAACAGGCTACATCCTTATCGCTGATCAACGGCCTTGTGCGGCAACGAGGGTTTAGCGGCAGCGGGAGATTTGCCGTTGTCCGGGGCTAATGCGCGGGTATTTTGGACAGGCAAAAAAAAATGCGGGAGGGGGGTGAGAGGGGTTGGGAGCGGGAAGACATCACTTCATCATTTCATGACAAAATTTTACATTGGTATCTCTTTAGTAGAGTTTTTTTTTGTTTTCAATTGGTTTACACTGTTGTGGGTGGGTGATGGAATAGCTTATTTTGCTATTTACTTTTATTTGTTGTTATATTTGCTTTGATACCTGAGGTAATCTTGAATGTGGAAAGAAAGAGTTTTTTGAATCTATGGGACATCGATGTCCATCCAATCGGGATCATCGTCATCGTCGTCTATGTCCTGCGAGTCTTCACTACCAGATGTATCAGACGGGGATCGCCGCATGCGGACAACGAGGTTCTTGTCGCTGCGCTCGACGTCATCATGCCATATTTCCAAACCATTGACGCTACCACCACCACCAACAAAGTACAAGTAGCCGACCTGGCCCGCGACTTTTGCCGTCTGGCGCTCCAGTTCCTCGCGCTCCTCACGCTGTTTCAGCGTCTCGATGAATTCCGGCTCGACCTGCACTTGCTCCGACGACTCCGAGTAGGATAGAGAGCTGCGCGGAGGACGAGGCCGCGTCGTGTTTCCACGTGCTCGGCGCTCCGCCATGCGACCCTGTTCCTGGATGCTGCGGTAGTTGCGCCAGCTAAAGAAGCCGGGCATAGGCAAGTCCCAGAAGGTGGCGGCAATTTCAAAGTCGGGGCTCAGGCCGTGCTTGAGGCGCACCGCTGCTTCTGTCTTGTTTCGGGCGTTCCAGGCCTCGCGGAGGGCGTTTTGCTGCTGCATATAGTGGCGGTGGTTGTTGATGATTTGGAGCAATTCGGGGTTGCCTTGTTGTGGTTTTGCTGGCGGCCGCCAGTGCTGAGTGGTGGTGCATGCTGGCCGAGGCGGAGGCCGTGGCGGTGTGCTGGAGTCGAGGGGCCGTGACGTGATAGGGGCAGCGACGGCCTTTTCCCACCAAGCCACATTGTACGCTGCAGCCTGCGCCTCGGGTACACTGGTTGGATACGAGGCTGACATAGAGTCACAGATGGTGCAGAGCGAGGGGCTCTGGGATAGGACTGCTGCCTGGGCTGACCGCGGGTCTGATCGTCTGTGTGCGTCGTCCCACAATTGTTCCCGCTCCCAGCGGAGTTGATCGTCTCTCCTCGTTTTCTCGAAGCGCTGCTTTGCAATGAAATACCCCTTTCTGGCCTTGTTCCACCGCTGGTTGCGCATGGGCTCGGGGGGTTTCAAGCCCCCTTGGCTGGCCAGCTTCTTCAACGCGGCGTCGGACCTTGCACGGGCCCGGGAGAGAGCGCATCGAGGGCACCATGGCACATGTGTCGAACTCGAAGGGTGAATTGCATGGCCACATTTACTAGCTGTCCGTATTGGGTGACCGTAAAAGGAGCCGGGAAGCGTTTGTTTTTTGTCCAGGATGGCGGGCATGTATTCTGGGGTGAGCATCATCGGCATGATGGAGACAATGGTTTGGTTGGTGAATTTGGTGGTTGAGGGTCGTAAAGGAGCGTATGTGCATTATTGCTGGTGGGTTAAGGTATGGGTCGCGTGATGTGGTGGACCACAGCCAGGCGAGGGGAACTCGGAAAAAAACTAAGCAGGAAGAAAGGATTGGAGCCACCAAGAGAGGAAAAGACTTGACAAGGACAACAGCGATCCGGATCGAGGCCAGGGCAGAAGATGTGCGTACGGCAGCACTTTTTAAACTGTGAGATGGACCTTCAGCCCTGTTGAACGAGGCGCGCAAGCGCGTCATCGTGCTGGCCCCCTATTGGCCTGTTACTACAAAAAGTCGCACGCGCGTCAGTCATGGCCACCTGCCCGTGCGCCTATTGGCTGTGGCCTGCCCACCCGCCCGCCTGGATATCGTGGGGGCAGATTGACTTACTACAACACATCGCCTCTGACTTGGCACCGACACCATGCTCTTGGGCATCCTCCCGCAACCACTACGAAGCCCGACCTTGCCACGCTCATCCGCACTAGCCTGAGAAGAACTGCCCTTCCTCCCACATCACCCTCACCCTCACCTTCACCACGAGACCTCCTGCGTCAACCCCCACATGATGCCATGTACAAGACCCAGTCACTCCGGCGTCAAAGCTACCATCGTCATGCTCCGGCCTCGAACACAAAGAAATCTCCTAGTCCGGTTGCTCGATGCAAACCCATCCAATTGCTGCCAATATGCAGCAAACATTCAAGCTCAGCCTGTGCAATTTAGAAACAAGAGTGAATGGTGATTGACCATCTAATTGGTTGCCGCATTCACTGCAGCACAATGGACTTGAAAAATAGTTTTTATACAACCGTTTGAATGTCCCTCCTCTTACCCTCAACTAGCACCCAGCAGTAATATCGACAGCATGGAAGAAACACGACCAGAACTCCCGCGCAGTCGTGCCTCGTTTAACCCCGAAGCAGCCACCTTCAGTCCGACGCCGGCCAAAATTGGAGCGGCAGATATTGATACGAAGCTAACTCCCCGCATGAACTCTCTGCAGAGGTTGAGCGTCCCGGGAATGTACGAAGGTGGTTATCTTCCATCGCGGGGTTCAAGCCATCAGCCAGTGACTTGAATATAGAAGATTCTCCCTTTCGGCCTTCCCGAGAGATGCGCCCTGACTACCAGGAGTATAGTGGACCGAGTGTCCCGCAACTTGCACGCACTCAGTCGGACCAGCTGGATATGTCATTTGCCGATTTTCATGATATGCTGCATGGTAAGACTAGGCCCAGCACCGCTCAAACATGCAGTGCTAATGCAAACACTGCGTAGCCCTAGGTCAAGCTGGAAACCAAGCAGCACAGAACCCCGGTACTCCGACGGAATCCATCCACATTGCAACGCCCTATCAGTCACGATGGGTTTGGCCTGCACAACGCTATGAGCCCAGCTTCAGTGCCCCGGAAGTCGAAGAGCTTAGCACCAGTCTTGGACTCCCCGGCATAGTGGGGAAGGTAAAGGCGCGCGCCGACGACTCAACGACACGCCCCAGCAATCTCCCCAACTTCAAAAGTCCTGCTAGCACTAATCTTCATGGTAAGCTCATGGGTCGAGCTCTCGGTAAGCCGTTTACTGCTAACGCTCTAGCCCGCTTTCTTAACGCGCAGGGTGTCTCAGATCATACAGCTATAGGACCTCAGAATCTTCATGGCTATGACTTTGGCATACAACAAGAGCGGGAGGTTGGAGAATATCCGCCTACCAGAACTGTACAGCCACCTCCCGGATTTGCTGGAGAGCATCCCCGTGAGATTGTTGAAGAAGATTGGCCTACCAGAACTGTACAACCACCTACTGGATTTATCGGAGAAAGTTCCCGCGAGATCTTTGCTGAAAAGCGCGGCACCAACTTTGCGGATATCTTGGAGCCGCAACTCGTGACTGCAGGACCTTCAGCGTTTAGACGCCCCCGCCGATTCAGCGACCTCCAGTCCGCCGTCCAAGCTCTGCAACAGAGGAGCCATGCAAACCGCCTGCCACCTAAGAGAGCCACTCGCCCCCGAGCAGCCACCCGCACCAAGCGTTCCGACCAAGGTCCCGAGCCTTCCTCCGCAGATATCTACCCAGACGATGCACCCTACCCATCTATCCGCCGCCCATCCTACGTGCCAGACCCTGCTCTCGTATTCCACGACTACACCTCGCACGACCGCGGCTTCAAGCCCCAAGACACTACATCCTGGCCCACCCCCGCAGAAGTCTACTCCGAGAAACCCGTCCAAGGTCCCACTCACCCCAGTTCCTCCACCAAAGAAGACATTGAACCGGAATTCGATCTCTTCAAAGATCACTACTATCCTACTGATGCCGATATCCATGACCCTGACGCAGACATCGATGCTTTGCTCAAGGCTACCCCGCATCTTTTCGATCTCGACGTGCCGGAGCTGGAGTGTGATCCGCGTCCGTTGATGCCGGGCCAGATTGACGGATCACGGTATGGGATGCGGTTTCATGGTATCGGGCTGGGGGATAGGTGGATGGGTCCGGATTTGAGTGGTGATCCGAACATCCAGGTTCGCTGGTGATTTGGCGCGGTTTGGACACTGGGATAGATCCGACCTGAGGTTGGAATTACTAGTGTGCTTGGTATTATTTGGGCTTTATGCCCTGGGACCTGTTTGCCTTGCTATCAATGCAACTGGTAGAATCTGTATGAGGGGATTGGAACAGGGAAAATGATTGCAATGGAATACGAGGGTCAAAATATGTCGGCCCAAAGAATCCCACCTACGGACTGTATGATTATAAGTGGCCAGCAGAAGAATAGGATTCAATAAGAATACTACTACATACGAATGCCAAAAGAATATGCATAGGTCTAACGAGGTCTACACTTCCATCCACCAGTACCCACCAGTGCCCCAACGCCGCCATAGCCAAGTACCCATTCATGTCATCATTGCCAGAACATAGCCCATGTCCACGAATCAAGGCCTGCCTCACATCCGTTTTTTTTTTTTGCGATTTCCTCCTCCCACCACGAACAAGAATTAACACATGACTTTGGATTCAAGAGCTAAAGACCATACTGCTATTGCGGCTGCGAAGGTGTTGCAGTGCCAGAACCGTTGGAAGGAGGAGTTCCCAGTCCAGACAGTGGACTTACGGTGCCACTTGGTGGGACGGGAATTTGAATATCTTCGGGACTACCGGGGACCATTGACTCGGGGAGGTCGGGGATCTTGATGCGCTTTGCGACGTTGTTGTAGGACGAGGGTATGATCTAGAAAATGTAAGTGTTTTGAATGAGAAACGAGCTTGGGTTAAGGGGTAAACTTACTTCGATAATCTCATCACGGGGAAACTCGAGTTTGGGAATGTCTGCTGCATTGCATGCCATAAGGTATCCATAAAGCACACGAAGCACGGATTCGTGGGCGATGATCAGAAGATCGTTTTCTTCGCGCTCGAGCTCGAGAATGATGGGCTCCATGCGTACGGCAAGGTCGTGATACGACTCTGCGCGGGGGTATCGGTGATGGTATGGATCTACCTCGTGCTTTTTGACTTCCTCGGGGAACTCTTCTCGAATTTTGGCTTCGGACATCTTCTCGCACACACCGGGGTTCATCTGGCTCATTTGAGATCGTTGCCTTACCCGGTATCCCATAGAAGCTAGAACCTCTGAAGTCTGGACAGTCCTTCGACGTGTCGAAGTCCAGATGGTCAGTGGTTTTAGAGACGCATCTGTCGCTCCAGACTCGATTAATTTCTGCTTTTCTTCCTCACGGTACTTCAACAACACTTCGCTCATCTTTCTTGCGTACTCGTGACCCTCTGGTGAGAGATTGGCATCGGCTTTGTATGAATCCTCCTCTCGCGTTGTTCCGGCACGTGCAAAGTATGTTTGCCGTGACTTGATGTGCAGATTGAGCAGGTAAAAGACAATACGCTGTGAGAGGTATCCAAACGCGCAGTTGTTTACAACGACCCGCTCGCCAGCATTGATCATTTTGATCCAATGTAGGTCGGTCTCCTCCATAGTCTCGAAATGAGGTATCCGTGCATTAATACGTGCCAGATAGTCTTGAACTGCGTCCTCGTCCTTCCAACCCTTGTAATCTGGTGAGGAAATCTTAACACGACGAACGTTTTCCTGGATGATGCGTTCGTCTGTGCAGTGTGATTCGATGAAGATTGTTTGGATCCCATTCTTTGCGAACTCCTTGGCTAACGACCGACGGCCCTGGCTGATGGCGTTGACGGCATCGTAAATGGCTACCTGACCTTTGTCGTTCTCCAGAAAATGATAGATATCGTCGCGACATTTTTTCAAAATCTTGTTGCGAAGCAAGACGGACTGTGGTGCTGCGTTGAGGAAGAAGTAGTCTTCAGGTACGTCCATGCCCGGACTTAGCGTAGCGCGACGGTAGTCGCCAAGATGAAACACGTGAGTCTTGACTCCGAGCCAGCGCAGGTAGCGGGCCAGGGCAACAGAGGTGTGCGTCTTTCCTCGAGCCGGGAGTCCGCAGGTGGCGATGACTATCCTGCCTGAATGGAAGAGGCGGCCCGACTCTGTGCTATAGAGTTGGGCAGGCGCCATTTCTTCCCTAGCAGGCAGGTCGTGGATTGCATCGACGGCTGTACTCGACCGCCGCCGGAAGCGGGGTGAGTTTGCGTATATCTCAGCGGTGCTATGCATGGTGAGTGAATGTTTTCTTGGGGCCATGTGCAGCGCTGCTGCTGGAGCATGGCCGTGGAAAGTGGGGTCATGGCACTCACAGTAGGGTGTCCATAGTTGTAAATAGGCAAAGTCTATAGGGAGAAGAATTGAAGCAAGAAGAAGACTGCGGATTGTGAGATGAAAGGGAAACAGCCACTCGTTAAGAAATGTGAGTAAGGTATGGATGCTTCAAGAAGGTCACGGTTCCCCGGTAGTCCAAAGGTGTGCCGAGCGACGTCAGCGAGCAAGGCGCGACAACCCGCGACAGTTCAATGTAGCGATTCAACCAGGCCACGTCGCAGGACTGTCTGAGAAGAACCAGTCAGTGCTTTTTCTTTTGGAGGATTTGGGAGTCGAAGGACTCAAGGCGCAAATGTCCGCTGCCGTCATGTTGGGGAGCCAGCCCTCGAAGATAACGGATTCGGGCGCTGCGTGGGCTAGCGCCTATTATGTCATCAGTAACTTGAGAAAATGTTCACGATATCATCACTGCCCAGCGCCCGCGACGCATCACAGCATCCCCTCACCCACCTGCTGCCATTTCCAATTCCCCCTGTGCCGGCCCTCCCATATACATAGGGAGCTTCTACTTGGACCTCGACGCACACTTTCGTCATGGCTACCCCGCTGCAGCTCAGCAACCCGGCGCAGGAACAGGCTGTCGCTGATATCCTCTCGCGGCCTCGCGCAGCCAATACCGGCCCATTCGCACAATTCCTCAACGTATACGATACCTTTCAAGAACGGAGAGAGGCATTGGGCCTCAGGAACCCCGGCACAGTGGAAAACATTGCCCGCGAGGTCCAGCGCGATGTCTTTTTGAACAATTCCAGCTTTTCGGGCCTGCGCGCCGAACTCACAAAGGCATTCAGCGCTGCCCCGCTCTTCCAGGTTGCCCACTCGTTGTCTATGGGGTCGCAGGTCATGCCCCCATACTCATACATGGTTCTTTACGGATCACCTAGGGTGCGTCGCTCGCTTGCTGGGCTGTTTTTAGCATGCTGACATTTTGCAGGTATTCATGCAAGGAAACATTGACAATGAACTCGCCTTCTCCGGCCGCTTCAACTGGCGCTGGACGTCAGCATTCGTTTCCAAGGCCGCTGTCCAACTCACTTCCCAGGGCAACATGGTCTCGCTTGAGAACGACTACACGGGCGCCGATTTTTCCGCTTCCCTCAAAGCCGTCAACCCCTCGATACTTGATGGTGGTGTTACCGGTATGCTCATGGGGAGCTACCTTCAGTCCATTACCTCAAGACTCGCACTCGGCATTGACGCTTTCTGGACACGCCCCGCCATGGCATACCCACCAGAACTCAATGTTTCGTATGCAGCGCGCTACAGGACTGAAGACTGGATGGCCTGTGGCCAGATTATCCCTGACCGTGGTGTATTGGAAGCCTCATACTGGCGCAAGCTCACAGACAAGGTCGAGACGGGTATCAACTGCAACTTGGCGTTTGCTGGTATTGGCCCTGGAGGCCCCATGGCTGGCCCACAGAAGGAGGGAAATGTCACAATCGGTGCCAAATACGACTTCCGTCAGTCTTCATTCAGGGCGCAGATCGACAACCAAGGCAAGGTAGCTTGTCTGCTGGAGAAGATGATTGCGCCACCAATTCGCGTGACCTTTTCAGGCGAGATCGACCACAAGCAGGTACGTCATTAAAAAAATTCAAGTTTCAATGAGCAATGCTAACAAGCTGCAGAATGCTGCCAAGCTCGGTTTGGCCGTCGCAATAGAAGCAGCCGACGAGGCTGTCATGGAGCAACAAGAACAACAGGGTGCCGCAATGTCAGCCGGTGCGATTCCCTTTTAAACGCCTCTCAACTCACACCCATGTATCGACTATAATACCATGACTCTTCTCTTTGCTGTATTATCACCTTTCTTGGAGCGAGCGCAGTCTGGGTAGAACCTCTACCCCACCATCTGCGGATTGGTTACGGTACTGCATGCGCGCCGATAGAGTGAATGTTTTTTGCTACAGCATCTTACGAATGTAAAACGGCGCAATGTTCACATGGAATGGGCTACGAGCGCTTGGTAGACCGGACCATGGCGGTTTATGTTGTACGCCAGATGATTTCGGAAATCGAGGTGAATGTATTTGTAAATATAGTGGCCGTGGGGCACCCAAAAAACGAAAATCAAAAATACTGTAAGCAGCTACACTCTTCACACTTGGGTTTCAATAGCAGCCATTCGTGTGTGACGCAATAAATTATCGTGGAGTCGAGAAATATAATACAGATCGTTAACGGCTGGGAAAAAGAATTGCCGGTTTCCGCTACATGTACATGATCATTCCCGTCCCATGCACCAATCCCACTATCGTAACAAGCCAAGTAAGAAACCGTCGGCGCTTGTGCCCGGTGAGAGCCCATCTGTCGGAAGTGCGACAAATGAGGGGAGATGACAATTGTTTTTATTTTACTGGTTTTACAAAGCCGGCTTTGCGCCCTGCGATTGGCCTGGAAGTGGCGCACCGGGAGCCATGAACTATTAAGAAAAAGTTAGCATATCAAGATATGTGGTTGATAGGACGCAAGCAATATGTTGGCTGAGAAGAAGAACTGCCTCTTTCAACAAATAAAAAAAAACGTACCTCGTTCTGCGCGCGCTGTGCTTGCAACTCAGCCCTCTCCTGCTCAACAATCATCTGCTCCTCGCTGTACGCCAAAGCCCACGGCACACCCAACAGCAGCGCACTGGTGCTCACGACCCACAGCGTCTTACCACCCATGCTCAGGCCGCTCTTGAACCACGACGAGATTGTGCTTGCTTTTGACGAGACGGAGCGCCGTGTGCTGGCGGGAATCATATCTTGCAGCGCTGAAAGGCGCTCGAAAAATGTCTCATCGGGCTGCACCGAGTGGACGGACGAAGTATCGGAATCTGCGGTTTTGCCATGGTTAGCAATTGCTGCGAGTGGGTGCGAAGCGGGTAAACTGGGTTTGTGAAGAGGCAGGATTGTGGTGTCGTACCCGAGTCCGTGTCCCAGTCCTCGTCGTCAACGGGACCTTCCTGCTCGCGCATAAACTCCTCGTCGGTGACTTCTGTAAGCTGAACCATTGTGACGGAGTTGTATGTGTTTAATTGGTGAGATAAAGAGTAGAAGGTGGCGGTTGGATAGAGGCGGGGGTGGAGTTGGCGATGGGTGGTGGTGGTGTCGGGCCTCGAGCTTTGTCGCTTGTGACGATGATTGCGATGATGAACTTTTAGTGCACGGACCATATATACTTGCGCTAGACGGGGGGCGGGGCGGGGGTCTACCGAACAACTTCAACCATGGAGTCGGGTGGTGACGACCTTCCACTCATACTAGTTCATGCGGTTTAAGTCTGCATGCTAAGCATTGCGTTAAAATAGGCCGTTTGTATACGTGCAGAGAGTTTCCCTGCGTGCGGAACAACCATGCGGCTCTTAGTCTACCGTCGTTATAACAGGTAGCTAGTGACGACTATACCTTCGGCACGCGACATCCAATATAACCTTATAGATCATTTCCAGCAAGATACAGATTTTATGGATTGCATCTGCATAGACAGTTGAGTACATCGTTGCCATAGTATTCTTGTCTGGTTCCTCCCTTCTCCAAGCTTTAAGGTGTCAACCAGCATACTTCCTAATGTCCCTAGACATTGCAACACATCCAGCTTTATTCCAAAAACCGGTACATACTATCATAGCAAAACACATAATATGTACGAATATAACACATCGTTCCTGATTTTAATGCCACATACGACCATCGGCGAAGTATTGCACCGGATCCCGTCCGCTCTCCACACGTTAAATCTTCGACCGGCGGACTAGTAGTCAGGTGGGTGACCACTGGCGAATCCCCGCTGTTGTATGTTTTTTGTTTTTTTGCAAGTCATATTAATCAAAGTTGAATACCTACGGTTTAGTGGCTGTAACGCTGAAACCAAATTTTTTGCATCTTTTGCGCTCATTGTTGAAGAAGCTTTAGTCATATGAGCTCATCCCTGGTGGCGTCCCTATTACTAAGACACTGAACCGGGCTATAGTCTGGGGAATCTTATAATTATGTACTTGTGAACTTCAAACGACTTCCATTTTCATGAGTAATTTCAGCTGCAAATGTCCTATGTGCGAGCCTTTAGATCTACAAATCGACGGTATAATGACGATAAACATATGCTTCCTTGACCTAAGGACTTTCATGTGATGGAAACATACCTCGGTGTTAGTTCCACCACTACTTGCTAACAGCATTAAGCTTTTTTTATCATATTTTCTATAGAAAAATTCAAATTTGTGTGAAATTTAGAATGTAAAGCCTGTTCTCCAATAAGATTCCCACAACCTACAGATAACTCTGGACCATAGACGCAAACCAGAAGCTTCAAAAGTAAAAAGTCTCGAAATAATGTGCAAAATAGCTCCAAAGTGGCCCTTTGACCAAATGTGTTAAGAAATTACCTAACTCTAAAACACTTCTTGACAATTCATATTCTTGCAGGACCCAGCATACCTATCATCCTGAACGGCAGCAACCCAGCGACAAGGACGATACTCATCCTTATCCTTGTAATAAACAAGCGCCACAGTGCCCTTGCCTGAATACCTGCATACCTCAACGCTGTATTGAGAAATATAAACATATCCAAACCCCGCTAGTCGTCTGCGAAACATGCACCACAAACTCCTCTTTTCCTTTCCCGTTATGCTCCTAGTGACTGCTTAAAACATTCCTTGTAGAAGAAAAATGCATGCCAACAGTTCATTTTCGGGTACATTCAAATGTCGTAGTAGCGGTAGTGGTTATGCATAAGTTTTGTCTGCACCTGATTTGTCTAATTCCCTTAAGCACTAAACACCTATATTATTTAAATAGTAGAAGATATGTAGGCCTTTTATAGAATAAGGCATAGTAATAGAGCATTATGGGATCGTTCTTGTATAGAGTAATGTTTGGAGCTTCCGGCAATCCCAGTGATTATCTCGGTCCTATCTGCACGTACGTATCGTGGAGGAGAGACTTACTCAACAAAGCTCTGATACATCAACTGACCAGCTGTTTCTTTTTTACACGAAAACATATCCTAACGCTCTCGGATATGACTGACAATCCATAAAGAAGCTCGAGAGCAATGAATTCAAGTGCCCTATTTCATTTGTATGAAAGATGTATTTACAGCATACCGGTATTTCCACCGAGCCTAACATCACACGGGATTGTGCAAGAAAAGGATAAAGCGCACTTCTTTCTCTTGCCGAGTCAAAAAAAAAAGGGGGAAGGGGGGGTGACGGGACGGAAAAAATAATAATGTTCCACGGTCAGTAAATTGATGAAAGAACGCCACGCTCCACACAAGCCTCGATTAACTCCAGTAGCCCACGCTTATCCAAAAGCTTCTTTCCCCCTCGCCGCATCTTAGCCCCAACGCCGCCCCCTCACAACCCCAGTAGCTTCTCCGCATTCCCATGCGCAAACAAATCCATTTCCTCATCCCTCAACACCCTCGCCTCAGCCAGCTTCTCCACAAACGCCCACCCATCCGTCATGTCACTAAACGGATAATCCACCGAATACATGATGCGCTCTACAGGACTAACCTGCCTCAGCTGCTCAAACTGGCGGACCGTAAAAAACGCACTCGTCGTGGACCAGATATTCGTGCTCCACACGCGCTCAAACGACGTGTCGTTGCGTAGGCCAGTCGAGTCGATGCGGTCGATGAACATGGGTAGGCCTTCGCCGTTGTGTCCGATGATGAGTTTGAGACGGGGGAAACGGTCGAAGAGGCCGGCGCCGTAGAGACGCAACACGTGCGTTCCGACGTCGACGTGCCAGCCCCAGGAGTTGGAGCCTAGGCGGCCGGCGAGGGCGGCGGGATAGTTGCCTGCGAAGAGCTTGGAGGTGATGTCTGCGGTGGGGGATGCAGGGTGCAGGTACAGTGGGACGTCGAGGGCTTGTGCCATGGCGAAGACGGGGTCGAAGCGTGCGGCGTCGTAGTAGGTGCCGTCTTTGAGGTGGTTCCAGATCATTGCGCCTTTAAAACCGAGGTCGGTTACGCTGCGGTTCAGTTCTGTGGCTGCTTCGTCGGGGAGCGCCATGGGCAGGACTGCGAAGCCGGCGAAACGTTTAGGGTTTGATTTGATGGCATCGCGGATGGCATCGTTGGCTGCGCGGCATCCTGATGGGTCCTCAGATCCTGAAGCTGATTGCTGTGCGAGTACTTGAAGAGAGACGTGGCCGGCGTCCATGGCGGCGATTCTGCCTGCTCCGACGTCTTTGAGTTTGGCGAGTATGCCGGGGTTGCGCTGGGTTAGGCCGCTGGCGATGATCTCGGCTTCGAGCGAGGGGGAGACGGCATGCTCTTCGAGTGCGATGAGGCGCTTGGGGAGGTAGTAGTGGGATTTTGGAGGTGGGGATGCCGTTGGTATACTGTTCGCGCTTAGGGCGAGAGAGAAGAGCGTGCCAAGGTGAGTGATGCGCATCTTGGGTGGAAACGATATGAAGAGCAGCCTTTGGCCACAGTCATTGCCAGAATACTATAGCCTTTATATGCATTGGACTTGGGCTGGACTGCTTGAACAAATGCACTATCGCTCTATCCATCTTTCTACACACATCAAGTCTTGTACTAGCGCGTCATTCAGCTATGTACTATACCGCCTCGTACACTCTTATATCGAGCTCATGATCCTCCGATTGGTTGCTGCCATCTTCGCCCCCGCATGGCGTTAAGGCGGCTCGTGGCGTATGTGTCTAGATCGTGGAGGTGCAATCTCCACAAGAAATAGGAATAGTAGCGGTACCCCCCTTCCCCCCAAGAAAACTGCCGGTATAGTCGCAAATAGTGTGCTGCAAAATTAGTATGAGCGATCGGTAGTGTTCATAGTTACCCCGCCACCACGACGTCTCTCAGAACCGATATCAATCCTCTCACTACTATTTACGAGGGGGGTAATAGAGGAATTAACGGAAGATCTAGACCCTAGTTGCGGTGACATGCTTAGCTTCGGTCCTAATGCCAGCGGGTAGATGCTCCCGCATTTCGACCACTATTCCTAGAAAGGGTAGCTTACTGGATATCTGTTGATGACCTAGATCTGTCGTGTATAAGTATATTTCACTTTCAACTTGCAAGTTTTCGTTGAATTGAGCTAGTTTAGTTATCACAGAGATTGCAGAGCAGAGACTTTACTGTTACGAGGAATAAAGCCGTAAGCGATTGCAACGATGAATTATACTACGTGATTACAAAGAACAGTGGTAAACAAAGGAAAACTCAATCCTGATTGAAAGAAAGTATCATACCCCCAGCATTCTCACCTGCATTCAAGTCCACGGAAGGCTGTGCAGAAGACAGTTCTACACCGTGAGCTAGGAAGATGTTTCGGTACTTTTCGATGAAGTCCATCGCTTCGTTTCTGCTCACTCGGAAACGTCCTTGTTTGAACTGATCCTTAAGCTTCTGAAGCGTACTTTCCCACGCCACGCATCCGTCATGTTGCTCCTTAGGATTAGCGCCCATATCAAGAAACATTTGGATGGTTTGCAAATAGGCCCCCAGATCCCATTGTTCAAAGATACCATATTCTTCCGGTAAAGTTCGTAGAAAAAAGATCCAAAGAGATGGTAGCTCGACTATAGTCCATTCTTCTGTTCTCTGCGCTTCTAATTCGTTTACGAGGACCCGGACCATGGATTCACTGCGAGCTGCGCTCTTTGCACTCCAGTCCATATTCATTGCAACGGGCAGCAGCTTCTTAAGACTCGGTTGTGATCCCTTTTCTGAAGACAAACGCAACTTGCAACAGACGTAGTTGCATAGCGCAGCTTCAACCGCAAGTTCTAGGAAAGATTCATAGTTGAAACCTAAAGCTCTAATACCAGGCGACTGTGTTGGCAATTTTTCGATCTCCTGAGCAGATGATAGAGCTAAAAGGGTACGTTCCAGTTCATCCAGCGTCTGGACTTCCGGGGCTTGGAATCTTTCATCAGAGACTCTTGCGTGGGAAAGAATACCGTTGACCATTTGCCGCACAAGTTCATTACGTCTTTTTGGACGAGCGGGAAAATTGGTCGGCAGTGCTTTGATCTGAGCTAGGAGTGCTCGACCTATTGCAGATAGTGGTTGGAAATCGGTTTTTATGTTTTGTCTAATCATTTTCTGAATGGCCTCAGTGTTGAGAAAATCTTTAACCGTCCGGTGGAGAAAATTAACGATGAATACATCAAAGAGAGTGCTCTTGTCGATAGTACTGGTTGCGACTGGTGAGTCTCCGGGATCATCGATGATATTTCTGAGAAGTTCACGTTTATCGTCATCGTCACTGGCGATCAGAATCTCGAGCAATCCATTGCAGCGTGCATTGAGGCGTCTTTTCGTAATTTGCAATCGGTGTATGATCTCTTGACGCGACGGCTCCTTGATCTCTGCATTGATTCCATAGCATGGGTCTTCTTCATCGACGTATGAATATACAAGCAAGGACATAGGGTAAGTAGCTTTGAGAGCAATTTCGAAAGTCTCTGCTGCACGTTCCGAGTAGGCACCGTCAGTAGTAGAAAGGATATGTAGGAAATACTCTTCCAGTGTCGAAAGGAGAAGACGTATCCTTCGCTGTAATTCGGAGAGTCTGTCGCAATTCAACAGACCTTGCAAGAGTGATCGGACGATGAGAAACACCCATAAGAATACTCCATCAGCTTTTCGCACAATGTCTTCGACAAGTTCATTGTATCGATTATCCATGGTGATTAACGATATGAACTGCGGGCTAGACTCCAGCTTGTCGCGAACGAATCATTCAATATCAGGCTTCGTAAGATCTTCCAAAAAGAGTCTGCGTTCAGTATCTTGGCCGAAAGCATCTTGGAAGACGTTCCAGGGTCGACTTGAAACACATAGCTTGATATCAGGCGATGTTGTGAGGTCTTGAAGTACGTTGATGAGATCTGATTGGTCTCCGTCGTACTCATCAAGGCCGTCAATAAAGAAACAGAACTTTGCAGATATGGTGCCTTGCTCTTGAATACGTCGGAACGTATCCTTCATCTCCCCCTGAAACCAGGGTGCAGGTTCTGAGTGGTTCAAAGATTGTTCTTGCCATCTTTGTGGTGCTACTATAGGAATAAGACTTGGGCACTTTCTTAGTATCTCGTACAAAAGGGACTGGAGCAGGCCTTCTACGGATTTTTGTCTTTTTGTGCCAGAATTCCAGAAGAAGAAGCCCGTGGTGACCAATTCTTTCTGCCCGCGCCAATCTTGTAGCTCTAAGAGTGTTCGGGGATTGTCATATAGAAATTTGACGAGCGTTGATTTTCCAGAGCCCGGTTTGCCGGCAATCCAGTAATGGCCGTCTCCAGACCGTAGCCACTCGGCAAATTCGAACTGTTTACAAGAGCGGTCCGCTGTTGATTGCGATGTATATGCCCATTCGAATGTTTTGCTATGGGCCTCCGGGATTTGAGCGTGCCGCACGTTCATGGAGTCGAAACATAAGCCTTTTAAGATCCGATGTTGAGTGGCGATCCGGTTCCCAGCTGTAGCCAATTTGGATAGATCAGAGGCAATCTCGCTGAGTTTCGAGGATATATTATCGCTGCAGTCCATAGAATTATCGGAAGACGATTGTTTGTCATCAAGTTTCTTTGTCACAGAGGCCTTCCACGCCAAGAGATCTTTCGCGCGCGTCTCCTCTCGACCAGCGTGGCAAGAAAGCTCCGCCAACATTTTGGTTACGTTTGACTGGTTACTTATAGATACTGGGATTAGAATGATTGTGCATAAAACCCGCATGTCGTCGCAGTGTACCTCAGTATTGTCAACAAACAGACAGTGATGCGTGTCTGGAATTCCTTCAAACGAGTTTTCGCAGCATTGATCTCATTATCTTTCATCACAACTCGCGCTGCCTGCCATAAACTCCCAAACTTTCCCACTCTTCCACTGCCTTTGAGCTTCTTGAGCAGATTAGAAAACACATCAACAAGCTCTGTGCAATCTTTTGCCATGACGGCCAAGTCCCTTTCTTCACCAGTGGTCCCCGAGGATAGAGGAACAGTAGATGCTGAAGAAAGCAGGTCGTCTTTGAGACATTGAGTCTCTCCAAGGTAGACTCAATGTCTGTGTACTCTTGGGTTGCTCCATTCCCAGAACGATGCACCTGCCGTGCTTTTTTGAATAGCTTACCGCTAAAGTCGATAAACTGGAATATGTTGGCTGCCAGTGACAACGCAGCAAACGACTCAAGTGCCATCTTTGCTATGAACCAGTGGTTTCTAGAAGGAACCACAATCAATTTAATATAGAAGATCAGAAGATGCCTAATATGTGGCTGTGTTTGCTTTCCCCGCACAAAGCTGAGATGTGATAGAGCGCTAGCACACCACACAGTCTGCCTTTCAATCTGCCTCAGGGGCGCAGTAGCACCTTCCTCCGAGACCGCCACTGAGCGCATTCCAGGCTCTAAGAACTAGTTCCTATCCCAACTATCTCCCCGCTCGTTGCTGCGCCGCTCCAACAACAAGCTATCTCTAAACGTCTAATCAATGGTTGTATTTTTCAGATATACACCATGTCTACAATCGTATTTTACCGAGCTAGTAATATTGTTTAGATCTATAATTGTGAGGTGCGCTCGCAGATAGACATAAAATATATCAGTTAGTGTGAATTAAGACGAATCCTCAAGAAGTTAACTTCAGGTTCGAATGAGACTATATACTCTATGCACGTGACTGTGGCTGCACTAGCCCGAGGGGTATCCGACGGATTCCCGAGGGTAGACCTCTATTTCAGAGTATCGAGACAATAAATCCCTAGAATGAGGAGAACTAAGCTAACTATAGCCTCTACCTACAATTCTTCAAACTGCCACCTAGCTTATAAACCAAATTTTTTTTAGCAACGCAAAGAACGCGTTTAGTTGGCGTAGAGCCTTTTCACTACTCTCCTTGTTGGTAGCGTAAGATAAGTTGCAGACATGGAGTACGAAGCCTCTTGAAAAGAATTAAGAGACGAACGTGCTCTTGAGAGCAACCAAAATTTCTACAATGTATCTATATGCTTTCTACACGCACGCAAACCATGTACATGATGCATTTGCTGCGCTAACTTTTTACATCCATGAGTACTACTTTACGTTCTTTTCTCTCACCATGATCAACGCCTTTTACCCAACATTTCCTTTCCCAGTCCGTCCCTACCTTCTTCCCTTGTGATCTGCTCAGCAGCTTTGACAAGATCATACGTGATTTCGTCATTCACCACACTATCCTTGTTATACGATGGGTGCGACTGGACGAAATGTCTGATCCACTTAGCCGCTGTCCAGTACGTTCCGTTGGCGCGTTTGCGGATCAAGTCGAGATATGTAGCAAGATCGCAGCGAGTCTCTACGTCGACGTTCATGCTATTGAGGTACGATTCCACAAGAGGAATGAGACCAGGGAAGCCAGCTTCGCCAGACGAGGTTTGCTGCCCATTGATGACTTCGTTGATAGTCATCTTCTCATACTCCTCTTCAACTGGTCCAGTGGGTGTTACTGGCCGACTTGGATTCTCAGCAGGTGTCGAAGTACCTGTGCCATTACTGGCTTTGTGCGTCGGAAAAGGGTCTTTGCGAAACCAGAACTTCTGCGTCGACACGGCGTCACGGATGTGTGCTGTCTCCATGTTTTCTGATACCAGTGTGATAGGGATGTAGAAGTTGAGGTTAAACGACAGTATCGCGCGGGTGAGGAGGACAATGAAGATTGAGAAGGCTGCATTTTCAAAGTCTGTAATCTGGATCTCCATAGGCCGGAACTCGACGCGCCAGCCCATGTCTGAGCCAGCTGGCGGAGGCTTGAAGCGCATGTGCTGCCAGTTTGTTGATTGTAGATTTTCAAAATGATCAGCTTTAGTAAGATCGAGTTCTTCGAGATCTTCTGCAAAAACAACAATGGGGTCACGGATAAAGAGATGAGCAAAGTGGGTCGCTAGCAAATCATCCATGCCCCCCTCAACCAGACGCTTCTTGAGGTCAGGGTCTATGATGAGATTTGGGTCGAGGTATTCTGGCCGTAAGCGGGGGTCCTGAGCGATGTAGGTTGAGTTGGATGCATAGCGAGACTTAGGGAGCCGCCACCTATCGTTCTTCAGGGGCTGCTGAAAGTCAGAAACTCGTCAGACACTAGATGAAATTAACTAACCTTTTCTCCCAGTTCTTCTGGAGTACGGTCGTCGACCGATCTACTGATCTGATTCCAGCGCACGTCTGTGTCGGCGAGGAAGCCCTTGTAGATTGGAGTGGCTGCTGTCAGTGCTAGGAGAATCGGGGCTATCGGACTGAGCTGATCATACATGGTCCTGCCCTCTTCAATGTTCTTTGCTTGGAAGGTGATTTGCAAGCAGCAACTTCCCATTCCAAAGGCCATTGCATCCATGTGAATGTAGTTGTCTTGGGCAGCACCATTGCGGACATCGTCGTCCTCGGGCCAATTGTGCAAGTCATAATTGACAGTTGGATCCTTCCAGGGCCATACAGTTTTCTCGTCTCGAAATACGGGCACGTTGACCTGTACCTTTCTGCCTCTCCGCCAACGAATGTTTGCTGCCAAAGTTGGGAAGCGGATATGGGGATTGGCAATCTCATCAGGGACAAACTGAGATCGCAGCTTTGGGCCTGAAACAGGATACGATGGTACGATACAATCGGTCGATCCAAGCCGAGGGAATGTTGTCAACGTGATTGGGAACTCAGTCTCGGCCATGTGATCCTTGGCTATCGCTCGTCTGCGGGATTGTGAGCACACGACTATTGGATAATCAAAACAAGCTCGTCTACCTCCACTTCATGTTTGGCTCGACATCAAGCAGGTCCTTGAAGCCAATTCCCCATGGCTTTCCTGGGGTGGCTTCCAGCATGAACCGCCCAAATTCGGGGTGGAACACGGGAGCGGGATTGTCTTTTGTGCTGTCCTAGTCAGCACAGGTAGGTGAGATGAGAGATATTTTTTTGGCTCACTCGGCATTCCCGGTCTGCAGGTCAGGCACTCCGCCACCTTGCTGCAGGAGCTTCTCGTCACTGGCCAAAGCAGCTAGAATATCGGCCTGGCGGAGCGACAATCGAACCTTGTGGTTATCTTGATCGTAGCAAACCACGAGATACTCAATCTGCACGCAAATTAGTCTCACATGCTGTAGCGGACGAAAACATGTTAGTCACCTCATCGCCCCAGAGGAGTGCGTCCCTCTCCTTTGCTTTGGCGTTGCGCCATACGGCAAGCAGTTGCTGTTTATGACATTACTACTTGTCCATTTCAGGGTCTCAAGGCATGCGTACTTCGATTCCCCATGACCTGACCTGATCAGCGGCCTTTTTGGCCTCTGGCCAGTCGAGAGGCGTTCCGAGGGCCCTTGACATGACATTAGCGAGGATGGTGAGTGGCGTAGCACGGATCTTACAGCAGACCCATCCCGAGTTTCGTAATGCGTCGTAAGAGGTGGTTTAATCTGGGATGGTGCACGGGCAGACAGAGTAGGCGTATGAATGGGTGGCTTGTGGCTCTCAAACGGCGATTGCGGGGAGGTCTTCGGCGAGCACTGCAGGACTTGGGGTCTTTTAAGTGGGGGTTAGCACAAGCCGGGGTTGCTGCAGTTTTTCACCGGCTGCAGACCCCTCGGTTTCCTGCGTTATCGAAAGATCGTCGCTGACCGACAATGGAGAAGAGAGTGTAATTTTTCTTTCCCTTCCGCACGGATGACCAGTGTAGAACTGCAGTACGAGACTAGGGTTCGGAAAACGAATGGATTAATAATGCATGGTGCAGTGCAGCAGGTCCATGCCGCTTCGGAAGAAGGATCTAATACCGAACGGCGCTTGTCGTTTTTGGGACGCCGAGCAGAACATTGACTATACTAGTACTATGTAGATAGACCGACTTCACCACCACTGTAAGACACGCCGCTGCTGCTGTGCACGCAATCGATCTTGGACCGCGCAACGTTACTCGGGCGTACTGACAGCGAGCCTAGGAGCACGACAAGGGCATGGCGTGTCATTTTGTCCTACTCGGCCAGATGCGTCGTATCCCACGTGCACACTCGTCGCCCATATTGAGAAAAGATCTCGTCGATACATGTACATATGTAGTAGCTGCCACGGGCCACAGTGGCATGATTTCTGCAAGCGGATCTTTTCCCTACTCGTTGTGCTGACTTGGGCACCACCTCGTCAGCTTAGGGCCTTGTCGCTGCGTCCACGTCTTTTACAGCTTCATACGTAGATTGCAAGGGGCTACCCCGAGGAACGGTTATTTGGCATAGGATGGAAATAAGTGGAGACCATTGCCTGATTGTCGCAACGTGCAATGCTTGCATGGGGATGGGCCTGCATCAGCGTCGTAGTTGGAAAGAGAGCCAACCGCCGCCGTGCGAGGGATGCATCAATATCTGTCGGCCCACACACACACACACCCCTTACCTCCCTTTCCCATCATTCGAAACCATGATGACATGACTGGCTCTGTTGATTTGCAAACAGAACACGAGACAAACATGACCGGTAGATAGGTAGAAAGCTTTTAGTTGGAGTGGGCCTAAGAGCCTATGGTATCTCTTTGCAAACGCTAGTCAAAACTGCCCAGAGGCTTCGTGCACTTCTAGCAAAGCGCGTGTCGTGCAAAAAAATGCTTAGAAGAACAATCCTGTCCTCCGACGATAAGCGCTTACTTGCGCAACAAAACTCCCGTCCTATGATGGAGCCATCCTAACAGATGCTCATGTACAGAAAACGCCGTCCACCAATACACAGGCCTGAAAGCCCCTGTCTATGTGCCAAAATGCAACCGCTGCTATTAAAAGACAAACATGAAATAGCCAACATGTGTCAGCCCCGACGAATGGGCTCCATCTGTACCTTTGAGTGTAACAACCTTTGGCTAGTGGCTCGTTACTCCATCCTAGTGGTAGTCGGCGATGACGTCTCGATGCCAAAACTCCGTCGTGAAATCCATACAAGGATACTGCAACCCCTTGGAAATGATACAGACGTCTCGTCTCTAGAAAGACAGACTCATCGAATGAATGCCGCTAGTGCAAATGCGAAATGAAAAATAATAATAATGTAAAAAACCCCCGTTTTATGCAGGCAGTCGCATGTCATCAAAATATGGCAAATATGTGCTACTATCTTTGAGTCGCTGGAAAGCGTCAATATAGACAGGTGCTGGTTGGTCATGAACGACCATGGGTATAGAATTGTTGAAGATTGTGCTTCGTGTGTCCAGGACAAGGCGTTGCGTTGGTCATATCGTCGGTGAGCTGTGCTCTATGGGCTTAGGTCGTAGGTTGGAGCTAGTCATGGCTTGCTTTCCCCCCATTTTGCGAGTCAACTTGGCGTAGTCTACGAGTAGTGTTAGCTAATGACAAGCAGCTGCATCACGGTCTTGAACTTACGCAGGCCACAAGCATTGCACAAGGTTCGGGCACCGTCTGGCCCTCTCCGCCACTCGGGTGTCTCGGCACGATTGCAGCTGTGGCATCGCCCGGGTGGAGCAGCACGCTACTCATAGAATCAGTACACATGTCGAGAGAATGTGCAAGGCGGGCTACTTACACCTCGTTTCCTGGTCTTGTTGTCGCCACCAGTAAAGCCACCCATGCCCTTGTTGTCTTCACCATAACCGCTTCCACCTTCGTCGTAGCCGTTCATGGGCCTATACCGGGGATCTTGTGGGGCTTCCACAAGGCTTGCTTGGTGGTGGTTGAAAACAACATCTCGCATGCGTTGGAGAGACATCTGAATCCTTTCGCTTTGCTTTAGCATCTCGTCCACCTCTTCCAACCTCGGCATTGACTGTGGTGTCATGCCAATGCGTTGGTTGTCGTGTGCCCGTTGGCGGTAGATTTTTGAGAACTCTGCAATGCGCCCTGATCCGTCAGCCATCTCGTTGAGCGAGGCCTCGATGTCAAAGCTCTCCAAATGACGCTTGACGGACTCGCCGTACGGAGCTAGACTCGAGCGACCAATCTTCTTTTCTTCCAGACGAGCCATTTCAGCGCTATCTTGCCATGCTTGATGCACATAGCGAGGTGGGGCAGAGTAGGTGGATGTTGCTGGGGGGTATGTAGGATTTGGTGCGCTAGTAGACGAAGCTGACACGGCATAACTGGGGGGATATTGCGAGTATGGGTGATGCTGGCTCATTGGGGGTGCTGACCGAGGAGCCGGGCTCTCGTAGGGTTTCGAAACTGGCGGAGGATACGAAGAATAAGGGATGCTGGGATGTGGGGCGCTTGGAGGCGAAGCAGGCGCGGTCTTGAGAGGATGAAGCGAAGGGAGCTTCGGATTGTGTTGAGGGGTTGGATATGGCGGCCTTGGATCCGAGAAGGGCGGGCGAGGAAGGGAGTCTGTTGGAGCTGGGGCTGGTGGCGGAGGACCTGTTTGTGACGCTGAGGAGGCAATATATGGACTCCTTGGGTGGGACAGAGAGCTAGGTGGCCCTTGGCTGGGGTGCTGGAGATCTGGTGGGTAGTTTCGTGGACGTTGCTCGGCCGGTGAAGGAGCTGCAGAGGATGAATGGTAATGTTGGGGAGCTGATGTTATCGAGGAGGGTGGTGGCACTGTAGCTGGATATGAGAGCGGCTGCTCCGATCCCAGGGCTTCGTGGATGGATGGCAAGGACTGGCGAGCGGGCGCTCGCTGTGAGTCCTTGTCGTCGCCAGACATCCTGCGTGATTCGGGAGGAGACAGCAAGCCTCCGAGCGAGCCAGGCACTGCGCTGGGGATGGAGGACTGGGGATTGCTGTGTGCATGCGATGGCCCAGTGTAAGGGTGCAGCGGGCTGGGCATGGCTGGGGCCGAGTGTTTTCTCTGGTACTCGGCCTCCTCGCGCTTGACTCTCTCGGCATCCATGTGGTTGATTGAAGGGAGGCCGACACTGCAGTCTGTAGTTAGCACATGTATAGCAAGGCCAGGGGGACGACGATGACGTACGCTTGTCTGCTGCCAGCGTCTAAGGTTTCCATCATGAGCGGCACCTTCCGTGGGTGGTGGCAAGGTTTAGTTTGGAGATGCGACAGATGGATGTTGCAAAGGAGCGATGGTGGGGAATGGCAGGCCGGCGGCGTTCATGTGCCTTGCTGCACAAGATTGGGAGGCACCAGAACCTGGAGTCGTTCCTTGCTCGACAAGCACAGCCAAGCAAACCACACGGTACTACTGGCGGAATCGTCGACGACGGTCTTTTTTTCTGTGCGATTACCACGCTCTTTACGTTGACCACTTTTCTCTCTCTCTTTTTCTCTCTGTCTCTCTCTCCAATGACTGATGCTGGGGCAAACTTTTGCTTGTTGTGACGGTTTTTCTCTTTTGCCGTCTTTTGTTTTTTCCACTCAACCGCACACGGTTTGGAAGGCGGGCACCTTTTTGTCACGGGCAAGGAGCGTTGTTAGCGAGAGGAAAGGCAGAGTTAAGAGTGCAGGTGCAGGCGATAGTGTCAGCGACGTGGCTGACGTAGGTGGAGTGGATGGGGCGAGTCGAGGCGAGTGGCAGCACAGTTGGCAGGGCGGCGTCAGGGACCTTCTGGATGCTGTGCTTCTGGCGGCGGAGGTGGATGATGTGTGGGAGAGGTGGGCAAGTGTGGCATGGGGTTTGGAGCGGAGCAGATGGCCAAGCCGTGATCTCACAGTGAGCTACTGGTCGCAATGCCGCGTCCTGTCGATGGTTGCAGGCACAGGCATGGGGTGAGCGGAAACAAGAACTAAGACCAGGTGCAGCGGGCTAAAGCAGATACGATCGGAGATGAAGCGCGGCGGCAGCGAGTCGTCTAGGACGTGACGCGAGAGTGCAGTGAGCAGTGAGCAGGCAGGGATGGAAGGGTTACGGCACGTCTGTTTGCCACGGCAAGGATGCGGGTGGAGAAGGCGATGGGTGGGTGTTCAAGCTGCAACACTGAGGACGGCACCCCAGCGCCCCAGCGCCCCAGCACCGCACCCCAGCACCGCACCTGAGCACGCTCCCAAATCATCGGCGAGCAATGGCTATCCTGGCCACGCTTGTCCGCATGGAATCTGCTGAACCCCCCTACCACTACCACTACACTGCGCTGTCGAGTGCTTAGTGTAAAAACAGCAGCCGGCCGGGCGGACACGGAGCGTGGGCTGTGGGTGCATCGATCAGCGCCACAGGCCCCCCCTCGCCTTCCACACCCTCGACTTGCTTCTGCTCGATCCGCAGCCGTTGTGACCAGGGACCAGCATCGCGACCAGCATCCGCGCGAATGGACGCCCCCGCGGCCACGGGCCAAATTATCGCCGTGGCATGCAGTCATGCAATCGAGATGCAGCCGGCCTTTGCATTGGTGCTACTCATGCCGCTGATGCCCCTCGCTACGCCTTGGCTGCGACAGCAGACAGTGACAGCCACACACACTCGACTACTCATATCCTCTCACCACTCCATACCCACAAAAAAGAGTGCGCGCCACGCCGCCGAACGCCTCGCACAGCAGCCCGCGCCTGTATGTGTACATGGCCGCTGTGCCGGGCCTGCCGGGTGGGTTTGGTCTGCTGCTCTGCTGGTCTTTTTGTTTTCTTCTTCTTCCAGCCTGCTGTCCACCATGCACCGTCAGGGCAGCATCCCGGGTCCTTGTCGTCAGCCCATCGCCATATATACACTACACACAGCACTCATGTACCTCGATATGTACACTACCCCCCAGGCACGCAAATCAGCAATCGCCGCCGTCCATGGCCATCGCTCGGGAATCTCTAGTCAGCCCAGGGGTGATGCCCACACAACGCATCTGAATCGGTGGCAACGCGATTAGTGCAGCGGGGCGGCGGCCATCATGCATCGCCGTGACAGACGAGGCAGCGCGTGCCGACGAACCATCGTCTTGCCTCGAGATCTCATCGGCCCGGATGCAAGAAACTTTGACTCAAGAGCCGCCTGTACGCAACACCCAATGCCGCTCGCTGCTATTGCATTATCGTCCGCATTATCGCTACGGCGCACAGGGCACCTGCTACTCGATGGCTCTTACACTTGCCCGTACACAATGAGGCCACTTTGTCGCGCCTGGTGATACCTCTGGCCTGTGCCGCTACGTCAGTCGTCGCTAACGCCTCTCTCAGTGCACCCACGCAGCACGCCTCCCTGGTCTCGTTCCGAACCATGGATCCACCATGCACTAAAGCACTTGCCCGTTGACGTCTGCACGTGTCTGCAAAATCGCTGGGCTGGTCGCACCACGCCATCCCGGCTCGACTTGCATCTGCCATAGCACAGTAGCCCGTGCTGCTGCCTGTGCGCTCCCTCGTGCCCTATAGTAGCACGCCCGTGAGGCAAAACGGCACCCGACCCAGACATCCACACCACGCTACCCACAAGTCTCCGTTGCGATTTAGCTGCATTAGCGGAACCACGACCGATCTGCCTTCACCACCCTCTCGACTCTCTCTGCCTCTGGCCTGCCTCGCATGTTCTATCTTTATAGTCTGTATGTATACATGCTACACTTACTCGAGCGCTGGGCCCTGTCTGCGCGCTGACGATAATGCCCGCATACGCCCAATCGCCGTCACACCAGCTCTCCGCGGCAGAGTCAGTCGAGCCAACCACCTCGCCAGCTGCCTCACATGCGCTGACAGCCATCACCGCAGGCCGAGGAGACATATCGCTCGGTGCCATCGTCCCGCCCCGCACCCCCTTTGCCTTGGACAATGACCAGGGTGCCGAAATATTCCAGTGCAACGCCCGTCACACGTGTCTCACAACTCTGCTATCCTGCTACTTCCACTTATCAAACAGTGCTCTTGGTCATGACAATTACCTGCTCCGCAATTGCCCGTGCCGTGGTGCACCCCCCGACAAGCTTCATCGCGCACCCGTCGGTGGCTTGCAACGTCGAACCGGCGCAGAATACCCACTTACGCCATTGTGTATTACCAAGCATGTCTCTCAGGCGACATATGTAATAAGTACATATATATCTCACATACTTATGTGTGTGGACATATGGAGTTGTGGACACATGCCCGTCCCTGGTCCCTGTGGCTAAATAGTGCTGCTTCTTTGCATTCGGCACTGCGCAACCCGATTTACCTGACCGATTCGTTGTCGTGTCGGTACTTTTTTTGTACCAACTGGCCGCTTGACAAACGCCTCCCGGACTAGGTATTGCATTATGTCAAACCCATTTATGCGCAAGCGTTTGACCGCTGTCATTCAATGCCGGTCATGGCGGGAATCAAAGCGTTTCGAAACGCATATCTATGAGACTCGCAAAACACTCAAATAACCCGCGTTTGTCATTGCACAAGTCGACAAGATCTTGCTCGCCCTGCAGGAGTGCCTCGGACAAACCCGCCTTCAACTATTGGCCTGTCGCGCACGCACATCAACACCCCCAATCAGGTGCATCGAAAAGCACAGCCCATGACCTGATCTGCTAATTCTCTGAGTCGACTTGTCTAGTCCGGGCATACCTTGCGTGCATCGATACTGGCGTGGAATCCGGCTTGCTGGCTTCATGTGAATGAGGTGATACGCTAGAAAATTATGCTAACTTTCAGCTCAACCAAGACCAAGAATACGGATCTCGTCGTAATCACGATGGTGCTAACGACGTGCATACACGACACTGGAAGGCAATTGCAACCCGTCCTCGGACGAGATTGGCAGCATGAGGAAACTAGATGCAAATTTACCGGTGCCTTACCTCCTCCGCGTTACCGTCTTTGACAGGATGGGCTCCACGTTTGCTGACTTTTTACGACACCGCTCGTCGGCCACTGTTCCGGCAGCTGTAAACGTGTCCCTTCCAACTCGCATCGTTTTTCGGGCAGAAAATCCAAATGTGCATCTTGCCACCATCCAGGCATCATGTAGCTGACCAAAAGGGTCATTGTCGACCCGCCGCAAGGGGTCCTTAAACCCTATTGACAGTGAGTTGCGAGGTCCATGCATGCTTCACGTGTGCCGCCAGATGAGGCGAATCCCTACCAAAAGCATATATGCCGAGAACCTGTCACAGCCGAGCAAACTCGATGCTAGTTGACAGATGAGCCCTGTCAGCACACCACAGGAATATGATGTTAAGAAGACCCCGGTAATAGTTTCTCAATCTGACTCAGGATCTTCAGTAACTTTGCTCGCTTGGCGGCGATCTCGATCTAACGCTGGTCACACCCTTTTCATCTCACACGTATCTGATACCCAGTTTTAGTGGGCGGCATCCCCAAAAAGGTTTAATGCATTGCTCCCGATTCGGTTTCTTGCTTAAGCGACATGGATGCAATAAAGATATTGTATCGTACGACTCTCGGTGCACCCCTTGCCCTTCTGCGAGTTGTGTTTCGAGAATATCCGCCTGTCCATTTTGGGCCTGCTTGATGATCCTCCTCGGCCGTTTACTCAAATTGGTTTATGATCGTCTCACCCGCACTCAGCTTCGTGGAGGCGCCGTGAGCTTGCATCGTGACGATTTTCGCGTGGCACAGCGCGGCAGGACAAAAAGCAACGTTGGACAGCGCCCTAACAGGCTCCACTGTGGAATTCGCATTTTTCCCTACGACTCCTTCTGGCGACATGCAGTCGCAATCTGTTGATCAAAATAAATACAGTGGCCTTTCTTGGGCGAGGGAAACATGGGTCGTCGCAGAAATGACCGGCTTATCGCTGTCTGCATGTCCGAAGGAATCTTTAGGGTCGTCCGTTTCGGGAGGACCCTACTTACCTGACTGTCATCGGCACACGCGTTCCGGTCGTGCTGGGGCCGGAGTCGCCTATGGCAAAATATGGGGCAGTCCTGACACCCTTTTTGGTCGTCGTGCAGCAGCTCCCGTGCTGCACTCGCTCCACGGCATGAAATCTGACTGCATTTTACGTTATGCAAAGGCGGAGGAAACAGACTTGTGCGGTGGCCTTTGTTGGAATCTCTGCTTCAAAACAAATAGCGCAATTGCCCCTGGAGCATGGTATGTCATCGCGACAAGTACTTTATGGTCTACTGCACTCGTGCACATCCGTAGACAGTCGCCTGGGTGAACAAAACAGCTACATGGCCTCACCAGGTGGCCATCGTCGTCGACTGTGCCGCGTTCCTTTATTGGCATAACACATGCATATGCGAAAGCAACGCAAGAGTATCTCTGCTTGATTACACACATGTGAAAGAAAAAAAAGCAGTGAAAATTTGCAGGGCAGATTACTCAAAAATTACAGGATGCTTACAAGCTGTCTACCTGCGACAATACAAGGGAGCGCATACATGGATCAGAGGGCCATGCGCTGCTAGTCAACGCAGCGTAACTCTAGTGTACCGGCTATCGTGAGATTTGTCTTGAGGGTAGATCTACGGGCTAGCAACAGGATCTGACAAGTGAAACGCATTAACAGAGAGGCCGTGGCGGTGCAACTGTAATTGCAAACACTCGAGCCTTTGGAGATCCATAACGCCACTGATCTTCTCTCCCAACATCAAACGCGAGTTATGCACGAGCATTATTTCCATGTCCAGGCACAGGCGTCGAAGCAAAAACCTAGTAGTTATGCTTGCAACGATCACCGCCGAGGGATTTTCGTTGCGTTTCAATTCTCCGCCCGCGGGCGTTTGGTCGCAGTGCTTGCATGCGTGCGGTGTAATTTTTTTCTGGCTTTCTTCTTTGCTTCTTTTCTTCGCTTGTTTTCTCGAAGTCAAGGCTGACATGCAGTTTTCTGGATCGTCCCGCCTCGGTTGACGGCGGAGCTTACCCCACACCGGATTTCGCCCCCCTCTAGACCAAAATCCCATGGGTCAGCCCATTCGCAACGCGGCAAAATCTCGACACAGGGCGGTGCCCATCAAGATCTCATGGTATGCAAGTCGGATGCAGACAAGATGTACATGCGTACATATGTACATTGCGTACACAAGTGCTGGTAATGAACAATTGTCCCTTTTTTGCTGGCTCATCACGAGACAAACCCCCCCACCATACTCGTCATCAATTGATTCTCAACACGGGTCACGCTAGGTACCATGTGGCTGGTTCTGGCGCTTGAACGCTTCTTTGTCAAATCGACCGGCGGCCGTGCCGTGTTAAAGCGGCAAGGCCGACCCCGTGCCGCTCGCCGATTGGTCGGCTCTTTGTGCCGAGAGAATGAACAGACGCAAAACACCCATAGCCCGATCTCACCCTCGGCATCAATTGCCCTTCGGGTCTTTCCACAAGTGGTTCAATGACTACTTATCCTCATCAAACCAACGGCATTACTAGGCATTCACACACACTCACACATAGTCGTACCCCCCATGACCTCGTAAGTTGCGACTTACCAAACTCCTTGTATCCCAGTCTTTTCTGAAGCACCCTGGCCCGTGTGCCCCCGCCCCCAAGCTAGAACTTTTGTTGGTCACCCGGTATGTGCCCTCTTTTCTGTCTTGTAGGCATTTTTTGCTTTTTTCTTTCTGTTTTAATCGCCTATCGAAGCTGGTTCGAGAACGCCACGTCGTACGAGATCCCGGAAAGATCCATCAGGGTTAGGTAGTATTAGGGTTATCAGGACCATTTAGATTTGCCCTGCAGTAGTAAGAGCATGAAGGGAAGGGGGGGACCTGGTTCGGTCCCTTGCTTGCCAGCGAAAGCATGTAGGTGTAGAATGAGTGGTTATGACCCACAGGGTGAGGTGTGAATCGTGATTAACTTTTCTGAGCTACCATACTTTGGTATTTCGGGGAAACGCATCGTAGATGCAGATGCATATGCATACGTGTGGGAGTATGATGGGTGAGGTGGAGACGAGTCGATCTGTATCTCTCGTCCACTTCTTTCCTCACTCAAATGAGAGAATTCATGGGATTGGCACAACGAGAGGAGGAGGAGTTGGCGTCCCACACAATACCTACCCATCACCCTTGTTCGTCACCCTTTCCCCCTTTCAAACTACGTACCCTCAACTGCCCACACGAATTTCATCTCTCCTCTATAGACCCTCTCTCCCCCCCAAGGGAAAAAAAAAGCAACCCACCCCTTCTCCGTTTTCTGCACGAGCAGGTTTCTCCTTCCATCCCACGCTTAAAACGGTAAGGGAAAAACCCCCCGCCAGAACAGCAAGCTTTAAGCTCGCTTTGCTCACCTGCATCTTGCAAACAAACAAGACCTAGGCCCTTCTTGGAAAGGGAGGGATGAGCACGAAGGGACGACGAATGGGGAGGGGTGGTTCTAGACGGGTGAAGCCTCTTTTCGCCGCAAAGAAAATAGGGTAGATCTTTCTTTGAAGATCAGTGATCAGCGAGTAGACTCCACGCGGGCGGCAATGTGGGTTAGCCAAGAAAAAACCCAGAATGACCAAAAAAGCAGAAGTACGATATGGGGGGGTTTTTTTTTTAAAGGTCAATATACAGAAAGTAGTGTTTGGTGGATTTATTTAGTTTTTTGGTTTCGCATTGCATCCCCTGTTTGGTATTATCGTTGGTACCTGAGGCGCTATGCCTTCTTGTGCTCGCGCCAGAAGGGCAAAAGAAGGGCATGAAAAAAAAGCGAAAAAAAGCAAAATACGGACGGGTTCAAACTTAAATCTGGAAACGGGTTTAGGGAGAATCTCGTATACAGATTGAGCAAGTTAAGTTTTGGCTGTCACGAAGTGTATCTACTAAGGAAAAAAAAGGGCATGGCGCTCTTCCGCGAAGCCGCGCATCTCCGTCGTTTATTTATTTGTTTTTGTTTTGCGTCTAACCTATGATAACCTAGAGCCTTTTTTTTATATGAACTAAAACGTGGGTCACCGAAAGAGTTTAAGTGTTTCTACGCTACACTAAGAAAGCGTGTACATGTGGCGCACAAAACAACTTTCTTATGTTCTGACATGTCTGTCTGGTCTGCGAAAAAAAAAACACTCGGAAACCCGAAAACAAAAAAAGAAAAGAAAGAAAAAAAGGTTAATCGAGGGTAAGTTCTGGTTCGCTCGATCTGAGCTAAGGAAAGTTTGAGGACGGAAATCGTGCTTTACTGTCCCCCCCACCTCTATGCGTGTCTATCTGGGCGGGTTAGTGTGTACGTGCTACGCCCGATGTGGAATTTTTCAAGGACAAGATTTGATTTGATTTGAGCAAGAGATCACAGACCCAGCCTCCAATGGGCTTCGGTTTTCCTTTCTTTTTGGTTTTTTTGTGCGAAAGTAAGGGTGTGATCCAAGCGTTTTTACCGTCCGCTCCCCGTTCCCCGGTCGCAATCCATTCTCATTCTGTATGTCGGTGTGTCGGTGTGTCGGTGTGTCAGTGTGCTTTTGGCTTCCATGTTCGGCAATCTTGGGTTTCGGCAACCTTGGGAGGGTTGAAATTATCCCGTCTGGGCGTTTTTTGTGAAGAAGCAAATTTTTGCGCTCCAGGGTAAAAGGTTTGTAAGGGCTCAAACTGCAAGGGAAAGCTACTAGGTAGAGGTGAGATTAACGTACGAGCAAGACGCAGGGTAAGGTGTGCGTCTGTCGGGTTGACGCTTGTAAGCACATAGTAGGGCCGTTTTTTTTGGCCTGCTTGTTTGCTTTGTTGGGATGGATGAGGGTAAGCCTCACTTTAATTCTTTTTAGTCGGTGAGAACAAGTTAGTTTACCTAACAAGTACCTTGTTGCTGCTTGGACTATTGAATAGACGGGCTGTATCTACTATGTGTGTCAGTGTGCAGATGACCCCATCTACGTACATGTAGTTACATCGCCTCGTTCTCCCCGTGCGTTCTTTCGTTTCCCTTATCGTGGACTAGCAAAAGACCGGTGCCTGCTGGGCGTTCGTATCTCTGATTTTCCAGCCAATTTAGCCTGGGACCGGAGGGCTGTCGAAACCACGTGTTGTGCGGCAGTGTGTGTGTGTGGATACCAGGGCTTGGCCAGGAATGTCACTCGTTTCCTTTTGGGCTCCACCTACTTTGGGCATCCGGATGTGGCGGCCGTGGCCGGAGAGCGATGAAGCGAGGGTGGGCGAGGAAGCGAGCGGAGGCGATGGGGAGGCAGGAACGACGGCGAGGGAAGGGCGGGGCGAGGTAACGAGGGATGGCAGGGAGGGAGACAGGCGTGGCAGGGACACGAGGACAGAAACTAGGTTGCTTCGTGTTGTGCTGTCATGAATTGCACACCCCTTCTCTCTCCAGTGAGCCCTTCTGGGGCGAGTGAGCAAGGGAGAGAAAATACCGCTGTCAAGGGGACTCGTAAACTTTTCACATTGGGAGAGAGGGTACGTGGCATACAGGGTGTGAAGAGTGATAACCTTGTGTTTTTTGTGGAATGCTGCGCGGCTGACAGGTGGGAGTCCTTCTCTTACGTATGCAGTGCAACTTTGGGGGGCGTGGTTTGAATAAGGATTCCCCTGATTTTGTGTGTTAAGTCTGGGGGACGAAATCGTTTGTCTTGATGACAGAAGGTGCGGTGGATGGATAAACAGTCAATTCAGGGGAGGAACGTTTTCTCGTGGTTGCTTTTTTTAGGGGTTCTCAGGGTCCTGGGGTTTCACGAGTTCACAGTTTCACAGTTTAGGTACTACTATAGCATGGAGAGTCTTTCGTGTCTCTTTTCTGAGCTGAGAGAGGGGGAAAAGGGGTGAGAAAGAGAGAGCGGCGGTAGTATGACCTCAGTTTCTGATGTTTCTTGAGCTGAGAAAAGTTTACGAGGAGCAGTGGTGGAGTCTCAGTTCAGATGCAGGACGTGCAACTGTATGAATTCAAGACTGGCACAGGACACGATGTGTTTGATCAGGGCTTTCGCTCAGCATGCAGAAATTGTGATGGCCTTCAACTAGCGGAGCTACTGTCACAGGAAACAGTACTTTCAGGGTTAGTTCATCCAGCAGGTGAGTTGTTACAGCAGCAACAGCAAGAAAAAGGCATCACCAAGACTAGCAACACTATCCTTTGACATTTGCTCAGAGCATCACCGCCACTGCACTCTCAAATGACGTGTGGGTGTTCTCTATGTTTCTGTGAATGGAGTGATTCCTGTTTGGATAAGGAGCATACGTGATTTTTCTACAAAAGAAAAGTAGTCGTGACGATTTTTCTCCGCGGGCACAATTCAGATGCAGTCTACATCATTCTTCTCCCTTAGCTTTCTCATTCCCTTGAGGAAACAGGGAAGGTCGTGGTCACACAAGAGACTAGAGCATGTTGCACGAGATTTGCGCCAAGACACAACAGTGACAGGTGCACTGTTACCACGACAGGAAAATGGGTTGCAGTGACAGGATGTGCTTGCTGCCTGGGCAGTGGACAAGCCTGCTGTCTCTCCAACAGAGGCTATGTGGATTTGACGTGCTGTCCCTAGTTCACTCATCTCTTGTTACGAGAGCCAAATATTTTCCTTGTTCGCAGTTCAGCACCGTGCTAGCGTTGAAGCATTAGGGAGCACGAGGGTCGAGCAGACAGCAAGGAGGCGAAATGAAGCATAATGCTTTGTGCTGAGTACAGGGTGCAGACCTGGCGGGTTTGGTGTTTGTATCGTGGTTTCATGTAGGTTTGCTTTGTAATTTGGCATGTCATTTGGCCGCTTGGTTGTGTCCTTGACGGCCTGGCCTCGATGCCAAGCCTGTGTCGTTGATGCGGAAATTTTTTCGCCCAGAATGTTACTTGAGAGAATCATATATGATAGGCGGTGGTTCGTGTGGGAGGCTAAAAAAAGACCAGTTCGTGGTCTCACTGCGGCGAGAACGGGTGGGTGCGCAGACGGGATGACGCGAGATTTTGACGTGTGATTGATGGAAAGCCAGATTATGGTTGCGCCGGAGGGTTGCGAAGAGGTATGTTCCTAGCAAAAGCGGGTTGGAGATAGGACCGGCATGTTGTAGTGCGCGGGGATGGTGGGTGGTGACGAAGGTAGAGTTGACGACATGTCAGCAAACGCAGGGTTCGAGTGTCGTATTCCACGCTGCACAGGCGTGTTTGGTAGGCGGGAGAGTTAGCAAGAGGGCCATGGTGTCGATGGTGAAACGCGAAAAAGCAGTCGAATGATTAGGGCGTGGTTGAAGGGAGTCGGGCGCGGGGTACAAGTGAGTGCTGGGCTTATAGGAGGCGAGCAATGGAGCAGGCGCGTGGTTGTAGTCTGGGCCGGGGCGGAGAAAGCGCATTGAGGCGAACCATGGCTGAAGCATCGACCGGGCTGGATCCGCCACACGTCACCACAGCCCATTTGCGTGGCCATGACGGTGGACTTGTGTGGATTTGTGGATATGGATAGGTGTTGACAGCGGCGAGTCCGTGGGTGGGCATGCACATGGCATAGCATAGCAGTCGAGGACTCGGTTATCGAGATGGACGTGACAAGCATGATGCCTCATCTCAGTGGCGGTCGTGTCCGGTTAGATGAGAGCAGTGCGGCCGAGGACAGGGATTTGCTCTTACAGCGCCAGCCTCAACTCTGACCACGCCGACCACAGACAGCCAGCGACAAACTTAAGGACCAGTTCCCCTGATCCGGCCTGAGAAATAGATGCCGCCCTTGTCTTGTCGTTGCCATTGCCCTGCCCGTCGATGATACATACACCCACACGCTCGTCCTCACTCGCGCATCCCCACTGTGTATACATGCGCACTCGCCGGAGCGGACGATATTGAACGGCAGCTTAGCTCTTTGGTGGTGGTGGTAGTGGTGAGGTATTGGTACGTACTGCATTGCCGATTGCCGTGGGGCGTTCCCCCCCCTAGTCGCTTGTCCATCATCGTACGACTTGTCGAACCACTCCAACATCCTCCCTTACGCGAAAGCCATCTGGACCCTCCCGGAGCCGTAGCACGATTGCTGCATGCCATTTCGACGCAAGAGTGCCATTCGCCATTCGCCCAGGAGCCCATAGTCGCTGCAGCTGAGTGCAGCTTGTGCGTAGCCTGCCTTACCTGTCGCAGAGCGAGCGCACTCTGCCGGATCTGCCGCCGCCGCCCGCATTCGCCTTGTGCATCATCTGGGAGAGAGTAGAGAGAGTGGCATGATTTGAGATCGTCCAAAGTAGCTGCTGGTAAGACCGAGCTCCTTCCTACCCGCTGTGTTGCACACGCCGTCGTGTATTATCTCCATCGCTTTTTTGCTCTTTTCGTATCCTGCTGTCGTCCTTGCCTGCGGTCCCTTAGTTTCGCAGCAGACGGTCCTTAGTCTCCCCCCAATGGCTTCTGACCCCTATGGCAGCCCCGATGACGGGCTGGAGCTGGAGCGAATCGCCGTGCGTGACGCCGTGGGCGCAGCCACTTCTAACCATTGTGCTAACATGCGCTGCGCTGCCAGGTCGGTCCTTACTGCGTCTTTGACAACTTCAGACTGCTCCCGAAGCCCGAGCCGGCTGCCTCTGCCCCAACCACCCAGGACCCAAGCCCGCCCACGACGACGACGTCGGCGGCCACCACCACCACCACCACCACCATGGAAGATCCCATGCTCTCTACTGACTTTCCCTTTGGCACCATGCGCGGCCCGTGGCTCACCACTGCCGCCGACGACATGACGCTCACTGCTTCTGCCGACGACACAACCGACTGGAACGAGTGGATGCACTACAACCCCGCCCAGCCGTCTCAGGACTCCCAGAACGTGGACACCAAGCCCGTCAACCCACAGGGGCCCGCCGCATACCCTAGGACCCGCCAGCAAACATCACCCCATATCACCCACCTTCCTCAGTCGCAGCCGCTACCACTACCATCCACCCTCACTCCCACCACCGCTCCCATGTTTGCCCAATCCCACGCCGTTCCTTTTACCTTTGGCCAGAGCGCTGACGTGCCGCTATCGTTTGACTTTAATGGCTCTGACCTCAGCTCGCCGCTAACAGGCGACATGCAACAACAAAACGCATACTACACGGCCCAGCAATGGCAACAACAACAACAGCAGCAGCAGCAACAGCAACAACAATCACAACAACAGCAGCAACAACAACAATTATCAGACAACAACCTCTTCTCGCCTTCGCAATACCAACAATCCAACTATGCTGCACCGCCGCCTCCTGACTCCACGCCGAGTCTGCACCACAGTCCCAACTCGCTGAACAATGGCCGGTCAAGCTCAACATCATCGCATTCATCACCAGAACCCGCCCCATCAAACTCGAGAAAGCGCAAGTCATCGGCCGATTCCGAAGAGCCGGACGACGATGCGCCATCGAGCAAAAAGGGCGGCGCGCCGCCCAAGAAGACTGCGCACAACATGATTGAGAAGCGATATCGGACAAACCTCAACGACAAGATTGCTGCGCTCCGCGATAGTAGGTCATCATTCAGCGCGTCCTGCCAAACACTTTGCTAACTTCTCCTTCAGGTGTCCCGAGTCTGCGTGTCATGTCACGACCAAATGGCACCGAGGAAGACGATGACCCCGAGGATCTCGAAGGACTCACTCCTGCACACAAACTCAACAAGGCCACTGTCCTGTCAAAAGCGACTGAGTATATTCGCCACCTGGAGAAGCGCAACAAGCGTCTACAGGATGAGCTGAATACCATGAAAGGCCGGGTAGAGAGCTACGAGAAGATGGCCATATCCGGCCCCATAACACTACACGGTCCAGGTGGCGCATCTGACAGGTATCACGATGACCCCTTCACGCCTACACATGGTCTATCCATGTCTGGCCCACCCCAAGGCATGATTCCTGTCCCCGACAACATTGCCGCTCTTCAACGCGGATTGCCACCACAGCAACACTACGCACACGCCTACCCTACAGGATACGGCGGCCGTCCAGCCGTCGGTCCACCCATGGTCAACGGACGACGCAGCAGTGCTATGATGGGCAAGCTCATGGTCGGATCTCTCGCCGGCCTGATGATACTCGAAGGACTCGTCGAGCGCGAACAGTCACAAGAGCCAGAGGGCCGGGGCTTGTTTGCCCTGCCTATCAACCTGGTCAGCATTCTCGCTCCTCGCGTCTCGCTCGGTGCTTCATCAGCCCAGATTCCTCTGGCCAAGCTTCTCTTGGTATTCGGTGCCTTCTTCTACCTCGTTGCTCCCCTGCTCGACTTCAAGTCGAAGCCCAAGAAGAAGTCTCCATCCATTCTTTTGTCGCCTGCACCATCACTCGCTTCGCCTGTCGAGGTACGCCGAAAGGCCTGGCTCACTGCTATCCAGACAGTCTGGGTACCACAACACAACTTTATTCTGGAAATCGCTGCACTTGGTTTGAAGACGCTGAAGCTCAGCATGCGCAGAATCATTGGCTGGGAAGGTTATGCATACCTCACCGGAACCACCCGGGAACAAGAAGCTGCACGTCTCAAGGCTTGGGAGATTGCTCTAGATGCTCAACTCACTGGTGGTGACGCAGAGATTAGCAAGAGCCGACTTCTCCTTACACTCATCGCCTCTGGAACCCTTCCCGACACTCCCGCGAGACTCATGCTCAAGGCTTTGCACATCCGAATTGTCCTTTGGGAGATTGGCACTATCGGCCATAGCTCCTTGTGGACACTCAACGACTTGAGCGCGAAATTGGCACGCAGCTACTGGAACATGGCACGGAGCGAGCATCGAATCGCTGCAAACACATCCAAGAAGAACAGCGGCATTGAGCCATTGCCGGATCATCTTGCTGCGCTCATTGAGAAGGAGTGTGACGATGTCCTCGTTCCTGCAGTCGTACAGCGCGCATACAACATTGCTTGGAACAAGCCCAGTGCCGAGCAAACAACTGTGGATACTTCCATGGACGCTGTTGTAGAAGACTTTGCCATCTGCTCGCCTTTGGATGCGCTTGCTGCCTGGTACTCGAGCCTCGTATTGAACAAGGGACTGGCCACGGCACTCGCCACCAAGAACTGCACTCCAAAGCCCAACGTTGTTGCAGACCTTGATCTTGCTTACCGAGCTGCACCTCCCAACTCGCAAGCTCAACTTCGTGCCCTTGTTGCTCAAGCAGTCGTGCTTGATGAGGGTCGCAATGAACGCATTGCAGCAGCTCTCGAGGCCCTCCCATCTACACCCAAGCCCGCCGACTCCGGATTCATCAACATTGTCGGTAATGGTTTTGTAGCACCCGATGTGCGCAAGGCTCTCACTCTCGCTAAATGCATTTCGCTATCTACGTTTTCAACTCCCGAGGCACGTCGTCGCGCTGTTTTTGTCGTCAACAATACCTACCTACCCGAGCCCACCACCACACTCCTCAGCTTTGTCGCCGCCCACAAGGTGCTCACACAATTCATGGCCGATGACAGTCTGAAGGCTGACACTAGCCGGGGCCTAGAAAGGATTGCCAGTTCTCTCCGCATGTGGATTGGTCACGAGACTGGCAAGAGAAGTGGCGTGTCGAACAAGGTCAGGGCAAAGATTGTCAACAGCTGTCTTGACGCAAGCAAGAGTCTTGTTGGGCTCGAGCAGAAGAAGGTGGAAGCGGAGGGGACCAAGAAGAAGAAGAAGGAGGAGTCTGATGTGGATGATGGATATGCGAGTGCTAGTGTCAAGGACGACTAAGGACTTGAACTGTCTTTTTCTGTTGTTCTATTTTCTTTTCTTGTTTGCCATAGGGATTTAGGGTGAAAACCAGGCGTTTTTGGCCAAACCAATTGTTGTACGAGAGAAAGGGGGGATTATGTATCTTATTGCCCTCCCACAAATGGCGTTTTTTTTGTCGACAGGGTTTTTGCATATATATTTTTTTATACCTTTTGTTGGGAAGCGGCCTCCCCTTCGGCCTGAACGGTCACGACGATTTTCGTTTGTTTCAATTACAAGTTGGTTGGTAGTGTATCTTGTTGTTGCTGTTTATCCTAGATAGCTTTTATCTTTTTGCAATCTATCACTACTTATCATTTTCCCAAATACGGTGTACTCATGATGTCTGTCTGGTTGATAATCCTTACCTAAAGTGTTGTTGAAATATTTTCTATTTTTTTTTTGGTCTTGGAGGGTACATATATGGTGAAGTATTCTGTTCAATATTTCGATTCAAAGTGTATACCTTTGTCCCTTTTCAAAAAAAAAAATATACACAAATATATTGTCCGGTTTCCGTGGATGCTGTAGCTCAATTATTTCCTGGGGAGAGGAAAAAAAAACATATATACAATCAATTCACCCAAGCATACTCCTCTTCCGCCCCCTCAACCTCACCCCTTCCAACCTCTTCAACACACTCTTCGCTCCCTTGCCCGTGTCCCCATACGCCCTCAGCACCTCTTTGAACAGCGGCTCAGCGGCAGGATGCGTAGCGCTGAATGCGCGCTCAAGGACGTATAAATCTACTGCTTTGTCCTCGTCTGCTATGGATGCGCTGGTGAGACCAAAGTCGACGAGGTAAATGGTGCCGTGGCGTATCAACTTCTTTGATTCTTCTTCTTCGCTGTCTTCTTCTGATGGCCACAACGACGATGGGGACGAGGAGGAAGAGGAAGAGCAAGAAGAACAAGAAGAAGAAGGGGTAGGTGAGCGAACCATGATATTACTCGTTGTCAAATCCCCATGGCACACACCGACGGCGTGGAGTTTACCGATTTCACGACCTATTCGTGCCATGAGGTTTATCATATCTTGTTCTTCTTCCTTCTCCTTTGCTCCCTCTTCAACTCCATCTTTCGCAACCTCAGCTCGCTTCGCCCACTCATCAAGCACACCCCTAACCGTGCCTCCCCCAAGAAACTCAAGCACTAACCAACCTTCCTCCGCATCTACTCCCAACACCCCAGGCACATTGACCCCTTCCTTCTTCACTCGCAGCAAACTCCTTGCTTCAGCGAGTAAGCGTTGGCGGGTGAGGCGCCGGTCGAGAGTCGGGTGCCGGTATGGTTTTGGAGGCCGGTATTTGAGAATTGCAGGGCGAGAGAACCAGAGAAAAGAGGTTGTGTATAGGAGAGCTTCTGCGCCTTGGGTTATTTGCGTGAGGTTTGAGGAGTCGAAGGGGGGTGGCGGGGTATGGAGGGGGAGCGAGGTTGGAGGTGTAGGTGGGGGCACGATTGGGGGAGCGAGGGGTGGTTCGGCCATTGTGTGCGTAGCGGAGGGTCGTTGGTTGTGGTCGTTATGCGCGTTGGTTCTTTTATGAGTACAGGGAGAGAGAACTGGTAGTGTGTGGAGAGTCGATTGCGTACAGTTGTGTCGTGGTGTTGGTGTTGTATGTTTTTTTTGAAGGAAGTCGCGGGTCGCGCGAACTTGCCCCGCGTTGGCGACAAACCAAACCAAACCAAAACTAAACCACAGCCCAGCCTCAGCCCTGTAACGATCGCTCGATTCATCTCCACCCCCTTGCCATTGGCAAACCACCAAGCGAAGTTGACACCGTCGATCAACCGTTTAAACGCCCCCCCCTCTCTCCGGGGTACCGAAATTAGATTGACATGTTAACCCACAAACTCGGCAAACCCAAAGTGCACAGGTAAAAGGGTGTACCCGAAGATCAGCACTTCATGATCGCTAGGGCACAGATGGGAAAGCACGACCAGCAAGAACGTGCAGTCCCAGTATCACATCACAAAGCAATGACAACAACTTCCTTTGTAAACGAGTGATTATTGCATTGAACAATCTCATTCTACATTGAATTCACTCATCTCTGGTTTTTCCGCCTTGCCACCCATAGCCACAAAAGTAGCGACCGAGTTGATCTCAAAAAAAAAAACGGACAAAGTTGCTAAAAGTAAATGATAACACAAGAAAAAGAAAAAAGGGTGCCCAAGGAGTGCAATGATCTCTAGCCACAGGCAATAGAGTTCGTTGTCCGTGAAGCATGAAAAACCAAGTCGCCGATCCCAAAAAGCCAGAGCCCACCATGCTCGTAAAAGCAATTCGCATAACAGTCCGATAAACACGAGAAGGAGAGAAGAAAAAAGGGTTGGGAAAAGAAGATCTTCCTATAAGGAAGAGACGAAAGGTAATCGTGATGTTTGGAACGATGAAAAAAAGCTCGACCTTGGCCGGGATACGGAATCAGTAAGAACAAATGGGCAAGATGATAAAAAAAAAGTCGTCATGGGCCGTGAAGAAGCAGGTTTGGTAAAGCGCCACAGTAATATGCACAAGGGAGCAGAGTCCCGGAATGGATCTTGTCAACTGCCTAGTAGACGGGGCTCTTGCGCTTCTCAGTGCCAGTGAGAATGAGCTTGGGCGTACCACGGCGCTCCTCTGGGCGGATGTCAACAAGGCCGCCACCAACAGAGGCACCGTCATCACTGCTAACGCTGTTGGCAGTGTAGGTGCGGTTGATAGAGTTGTCGCGAGAGCGCTCCTTGGAGGCCTTGCGCTCAGAGCCAATAGCGCCATTGGCTACAGCACGAAGGCTGCCAATGCTGGGCCTGCCGGAAAGGCTGCCACTGCCTCCGCTACGGACACTGTCCGAGTCGTTGTCAGACGAAGGGAAATGCTCGCTGTCCGGAGAGGCACTTCCGCTGCTGGTGCGGTGAGCACGGCGTCCAATGCCAGCGCGGACAAGGTTGCCCACAGCCTGACGGCGTTGACGGGTAGCAAAGTTCTTGCTACCCTCGTGCTTGGTAGTGGGGCGCTCTTTGAGCTCCTCAATGGAAGGAGGGTTGCGGGGCTGGCGGACAGGGTGCTCTCCAGCACGTGCCTGACCAGGACCGAAAGTGCCAGTCATTGGGGTAGCAGGGAAGCCAGCGGAACGGGCGAGAGCAGAGCGGGGACCCTCGGCAGCCTCGGTCTTTGCGTCAACAGCAAGAGTAGAAGGGTTCTTCTTGTGCCCGCGACGGAAGGCATTGGCGGATGGCGGCGGAAGAGGAACCACATCCTGGGGAGGAGTGTTGGACTTCTTGGGAGGCGAAGTGCTGCGGGTGGCCCAGGGGCTGGGGTTGCTCTCGTTGGGAGGCGACACATGAAGGACAGGGGTGTCAACCTTGGGGGGCGATCCGGCAAAGCGCGGGGTTGGCGGAGGCGGGGAGTTGGACAGACCCGCCATGGCGTTGAGAGCCTGGACGGCACCGTTGTCCTGCTGGTAGCTCGGGTCGACGACATACTGGTACTGGCCGGTCATCTGGTTGAAGACCAGGTAGACACCAGGCTGGTTCGTCTCCTGAATAGCAGCAGTGTTGCCAAACTGCTGGCCATAGGCGTTCATCTGGGGAGTGTATGGCGTGTTGGGATAGCCATGTCCTCCAGACATGTTCATGCTGCCAAACTGCTGCGTGGTCAGAGCAAGCAGTTGCTGCTGAAGCTGCTGCTGCCTCTGGGCAAGGTACATTTCAGTAGCCAAGAGTTGGGCAGCAACGTTGGGGTCCATCTCGCCATCATCAAACTCGAAAGAAGGAGGAGCCAGGACCTGATTGTAGTAGTCTGGCTGCTGCTGCTGTTGCTGGAACTGGTTGACACCGCGGAAGCCGGAGCCAATGGCCGTCTGAGGAACACCCTGGTTGGCACCGTTGTACTGCTGCCTGGGCATGCGGTTGTTGTTGTTGTTGTTGTTAGCAGCGTTGTTGGCACCAACGTTGTGCTGTGCCTGGGAGTAAGGCGCAGAAGCAGGAGGCTGAGCAGACGTGGGCGTCTTAGGCGCAGTGCGAAGGCCAGCCAAAAGGTGCGAGCGGCTGGTGCGGGGAGTGGCAATCGAGTCCTCGGCAATCGAGGCGACCTTTGGAGGCGAGGCAACGCTGAGACGCTTAAGCTGAGCGCCCTTTCCGCGCGAGGCAAAGCTGGCAGTGGGCCCGCCAAATCCGGCCTGGGATTGAAAGTTGTTGTTTTGGTTGTTGTACGTCATTTGAGCAAGACCGCCAGCGTCCATGCTCATTTTGGTGGTCTAAAAAGAGGTTCGAACAAAGGGTAAGGCTGCAAGTTTGGGGGTTGAAGCGTATGCAGGGAAGTGCACACGAGAAAGGATACAGAATCGAAGATGATGCAGACGAGCTCGACAGTCGACGGTGGGCGGACGTGCGAAGGGGGTGGCGATTACGGGATTAAGGATCGTACTGATCAGAAGTGGTGTAAGGTAGAGGTTGGAATCGAAAACCGGCCGATGGGCAATGCAGTTGGAGCTATTAACAAAGGCTGTAGGTCGCTGCGTGGTGCGGCGGAATGCGCAGGGTTGGGAGGCAGGAGCAAATGTGGTAGCGGGTAGGCGGGGTGGGCCTAGGGCACAAAAGCTGCAAGGTATGCGGCGACGGAAGCTCTTTTTCTCTTTTTTTTGGTTGTAGATGAAGGTGAATACACGAACAAGCCGTGACGGGATCAGTGGGCAGGCAAGCTGAGGATGATGCGTCGACGGGGGGGTTCTTTTTTTTTAGAGGATGGTGGGGAGCGACGGGACTGGCGCGCTCTCTCACACACAAAGGCAGATTAGGCGGAGGGTAAGCTGGTCCAAAGAAGCGGAACAGGTAGAAGATGCAGAAGCAGCGGATGGGTGGCAGAAGAGAGCGAGGGGATGGTGGTGGTGGAAGAGAGCGGAAGCGGAAGAGGAAGAGAGATGGAAGAGGAAAGGGCGAGATGGAGGAGGGGGCGAGGAAGAGAAAAGTGACGGGCACAGCGAGAGGAGGGAGAAGAGAGAGAGAGCGAGACGGGCGGTGGGGACTGTGGGCGGCGCTATAAGGTGACGGGGCGTGGGTGGCAGACAGGGCGGGTTAGCAGCTCAGCAGCGACCCTGCATCGGGCTAGGCCCAAAGCAGGCCCCCTGGCCACCGAGCCAGACGCTGGATGCAGACTGCAGACTTTGAAACGCTGGGTTCTGATGCGCAATCACGGAGGAGCCACCGTTCCTGCGTGCGTGTGCGTATGCTACTTGACTGCGCCCTTTTTGCTCGTGTCCGTGTTGGGTAGGTATGTAGTGTGTGTATTATGCCAGCGGTCGTATGTGCTATGCCCTGGCCGTCTCGAGTGCGGGCGAGGTTTCATGCGCACGCGTCGGCCGTTGTCTCCATATGATGACCAACCAACCCATGATGACTACTTGGCAACAACTATCGAGTATACCACCCATGACCATGACCATGACCATGACCATGACCATGATGATGATGGCCATCAATAGCCACCGCCCTCACCGCAACGCGCGCACCGCTGCACCGCTGGACCGGACAGCGTCTATTGACGGGCTCTGGGCCAGTCATTGGTAGCGTGGCCAGCAGTCGCCAACGGCGGCCACGCCAAGTCGCGCCGCTACTGGTCAGCTCCGAGGCCACGACGGCCGCACCTCAGCCACCAAGCAACCCCCCGTCTAAATATACTCTGCCATTCACCATTCACCAGTCCAGTCCAGTCCAGTCCAGCGCATGCATCTCCTCCCTCCAGCGCATCCATCACCCTCCATGGCCATGCACCGCCAGCGCAGATCTGCCTACCCGCCTGCCGCTGCATGTGCCTCTGCTCGCATTCCGTTCCCTTTTGCTCGTGCCTTGCCAACAAACTCTCGCTTCCTCACACTGGCGGTCCTTTTCTCGAGCCGCCTGGTGCTCAAGCGAGCCTGAAACTGTCGCTCCGTCTCAACTCCCGCGGCCCGTGCACCGCTCCCTCATCTCGGTACCGCCTGCGCTGCCCTGCAGACTGCAGACGGACCTGCCAAGCCCCCTCCCATCGTCCTCGTCCTCGTCCTTCTCCTCCGCCGCCGCTGCGTAGTCTGCCGCTCTCCCCCCTTCTCCTTGTGGCTTCTACGCGGCTGCCGGGCGGGCGGCAGCGGCGGCGGCTCCTTCACAGGCGACAACACCTGTCCAACGGCCCGGATCAGTGCTGCAAATCTTATCTCACCTGCTGCCCACCACGCCTCTTCCGTCCAGTAAGCTGCGCTAAGCACTACTAGACCCCGAGCCGTCTAGAAAAAACACTAAAATGCTTTGCTGCCTTCTGACTTGGCTTGTCGATGAAAAAGAAATCATGCTCCCTTTGCTCCGTCGCCTCAATCGGGCCAGCACGGCCACGCACAGTGGGGCCGAGCTACCCATTCCGGTACCTGCCCATGTGCTCTCGTGAGGCTTGCTCCCCCTCCCCCAAGGCACAAGGCACTGGCAAGGCCATGGCTATGGCGGATTCATATATACACAACACCACCACTGGTCCCATCCTCGCTGTATCACCTTCCCGTCCTCATCTCATAAACACCTCGTGCTTCACCTTGCTCCCGCGTCTCCGACTCTGTTTCACCCAGATTGATGATCCAGATTGCTGACGCTCTGGTGCCACAGAGCTACTTGTTTCGAACCCCCTCCGAGCTTCTCGGATACTTTGTCCTGCCAGCCTGCATCCCTGCTATCGCGTGCACCGAGCATGTGGTTTGCAAAGCCCTTCACGTGACTGCCGTTTTTCTTCTTCCGCTTGCACTTGCCCCCAGCTGCGTACATCATCATTATCATCTTGACATACATCCACACTGTGTCCATGCCTCAAGCTGTCAATGTCCCCCCGCAAGACGAACATCGTCAACTTGCTCACTACCCAACTCGCATCCATGACCTGCAACCCGACAATGTTTGCTAACCCATCAGCCCATCCCATCTGCAACGCACAGAACAAGAGATGCCTTTGTTTGCCTCGATTCTCGTACTGTTTGCCTCGACTCTCTCACGGTTTGCCTACCCTCTCTCACAAATTCGTCCATCCGTTTTGTCATCTCACCCCACGACGCGTTTCTTCATGTTTGGGACTTGGCATGAGACTCGGAACGAAACATCTGACAGCACAAACTCCACGCAATTCTGAGTCGATCATGGCCAACAACTTCGTCATCAAGGTCAGAAGCATGTTTCCAATCGCTTCATGTTCCGTTTCTCCTTCGGTATACGAGGAAAACATTCAAAGCCAGGCTCTTAGGCATACCCAGAATTCTGAGTATTTATCTTCCTTGATGCCATGCCATGATTCAGTCATCAGATTTGCAGGTCACTTCTACTCTATTACTACCATTACCAGATATACTCTTACCACACCCTACACCATAATTCATCTAATCAACAAACAAACACCTTCATCATGCTCTTTTCTACTATCATATGTGCAGCTCTTGCTCAGAGCTTGACAGTCTCCGCCGCGACCATGATGGTCACGGTCGCTGCCAACAACAAGTTTCAGTTCACACCAAACTCCGTCACTGCTCAACCCGGAGATACGGTCGCATTCAACTTTGTCGCTCAGGTACGTCCATCAACACTTTGCTCTTCGCTTTATCAAACGCTAACTGTTACCCTCACAGAACCACAGCGTGGCCTCCTCGACAGCAAACCAGCCCTGCCAACCCGGACCCAACGCCCTCTTCTCCGACTTCCAGCCCATCCCCGGTAACCCCAAGGGCAGCCCCAACCCAGCCAACGGCCGTCGCCAGGCTGGCAACACCCCTATGTTCATGGTCCCCATTACCGACAACCAGCCCATCTACGTCTACTGCCCCCAAGCCCAACACTGCCAGCAAGGTATGGTCATGGTTATCAATCCTCCCAACGCTGCTGCCGTTACCCAATACCAAAACGCCGCTGCACAGGCAAACAACAACATCCCCCCCAACGGTGGTGTCAATGGCGGTCAGATGATCAACAGCAATGCTGGAACCAACCCCAAGAATGTCCTCGGTGCCAAGGCTGGTGATGCGGCAAAGGGTAAGGGCAAGAAGGCCGGTGGTGCCGCCGCTGGTCTTGCGGGACTCCTGGGAGGTCTTGGAGGAAACTAGGGTGCGTAATGCATTTGACGGACTTAATTAAAAGAGCTATGATACATGAGTTTGGGACGGATAATATCTGGGTACATAATGGGTGGGTTAATGGATTGATTTGTATGCGCGGGATGTTTAATACACATAAGATAATAGATAATCCTGAGATAAAACACAAGTTAGTAATGACACACACTTTCGTTAAAAAAATATCAGACACTCGTATTTTCTGCAGTGAACAGCGTGACCATTGCTTTCACCCCGCCAAGCTGAGCAAGTTCGAAGGCAGTTGACTTGTGGCCTGCGGGTTGGGAACAATACTACCAGTTACCCCTGCTCACCCATCTGTAAAAAAACACACACTCACTTCCACTACCATGTCACCAACCATAAGTAGAACAATGGCAAGCCGAACAATACCTAGCATACCCATACAACCCACCATACCTATATCTAACACCCCCAACCTCCCCTCTCCACCTTACTCCCCCTCAATCAATCCAAATCTAATAATACTCATCCTACGAGATATTCGGCTGGCCCGACTCCTCCTTTAATCTTTACAAAATATCCAACTTGGTCACTTCACGGTCGATCTTTCCAACAACCCCCCCACATCACCATCAACCTAATCCAACCACTCAACCCAATCATCCCTCAAAATGCCACCCCTCCACCTCCCCTTCCAACCCCACAACACCTCTACCCCGGCTCTTTCCCTCAGCACACCCCGCATTCTCCTTCCATACATTAAACACCTCACCTGCGGTTTTCTTACCACCACCACCACCAAGCGCATCGACGCTCAGGATAAGCACAAGCACGCCGGCGTGTATACGGCACAACGGAATCCACTCGTCGGGCCGGGATGTGCGGTTATGTAAATCGTACGTTCTTTTTTGTTTTTCACTATTGCGGCGGGTTAGAATGATTGAGCTGACTGATGCGATAAAGGTGGATGGATTGTTGGGGGGGGGGGGGGGGATGGCGCAGGAAAGATGAATCGAAGATGAAATTGGTATTTTCGGGAGTGGCAATGGGGACATGGATGTGGATGTGGGTTCTGATGAAGGGAGATGAGAGGAGTGGAAAGGGAGATGGGGAGTTTGGTAGTTGATATAGGGCCTTAGAGTACATCACGCAGTACCACCCCAAAAAAGAAT